TACTTTAGTGTGTGTGTTCACATGTGTGTACCACATGCAGGCTGGAGCCAGTGGAGGCAGAAGAAAACTGTGGGCTCCCAAGGAGCTGGGACTTCAGAGTATCTGCTGAGCCACTCTCCAGCCACTGAGCATATTTTATACGAGGTTCAGTTCCATTTGGAATGGATTCTACAGTAGGTTAGCCTGTTTCCTTTGCTTTATCAACTTATTTTATTTTATTTTTTGAGAAGGGGGTATGGTTTCGCTGTGTAGTCCAGGCTGGCTTTGAACTCCTGACCCTTAGCCTCCTAAGCACTGGGATGTAAGCCTTTTTCTGTTACTTCCGTTATCTCACCTCCATCATCCGCCCACACTTGCATACCACACCCCTCTCAGAATTCATTCAGTTCTAGTCTCTGCTCGAGACCAGAACTTCCTTCTGGGCTAGGTGGGCCATCACTGTGAGTCTTGGCAAAACAGCATCCTCTGGTTCTTCTATGGAGGCTGGGATGTTGTGATCTTAGTTTACAAGATCTGTCTCTCATGTTACAGACAGGCAAACCCAGCTGCTTGGAGGCCTCAGAAGGGATGGAATTTTATAATATGTGTGAGCAGATTCACAGGTTCACATTGGACCTCAGGGAAGCTGGACGGGGCCTAGAGAGGCAGAGGAACGTGAGAAATAGTGGTGGACCAGATCTCGGGAGTCCACGTCTGGAGCCCTGCAATGTGGCCCACACCTTTCATCTGTGCACCCAGGAAGAGGAGGCAGGAGGATCACCAGAAGGTCAGAGCCAGCCTGAGCTCAAACAGCAAGCAAAACAGGGCTGGAAAGATGGGTCAGTGGTTAAAAGAACTGCCTGGTCTTTAGAGGACCCAGGTTCAGTTCCCAGCACCCACATGACAGCTCACAACCTATTTTGACTCCAGTTTCAGGAGATCTGATGCCCTTCTCTGGCCTCTTTAAGCACCTACCCCCTAGCCACCTCACACAAATAAATAAAAGAATTTTTAAGAAATTAACGGAAATGGGTTGCCTTAATAGAGATGATTGTGTGAAAAAAATAAATCTAAAATTGAGAGCGAGCCTTTCTAAGACTTCACATGCTTTCAACACTCCTCTTCAAAAACCCCAAGGGATGAAAGTCTCCATGATGAAGGTGATTTCCCATGTTACAGATGAAAGTTATCCAGATAAAAATGCAGTGTCTCTCGTGAAGCCACACTGTGGTCCTATAACAGCAATGGCAACTTGACGCCTTCATCAATTTCTTTTTCTCTATTTATTTACTTGTTTTTTTTTTATTGTTGTTTGCTTTGTTTTGCTTTTTTGACACAGGGTTTCTCTGTATAGCTCTAGCTGTCCTGGAACTTGCTCTGTAGACCAGGCTGGCCTCGAACTCACAGAGATCTGCCTCCTGAGTGTTGGAATTAAAGACATGCACCAGTATATGGCAAGCTGGGGTCCTACTACATAGTCCTTGCTGGCCTGAAACTCACACAGAGATCTGCTTGTCTCTTGTCTTCTAAGTGCAGAACTTCACCAGATTTCAAATTTTTTTTTCAGACAACGTTCCTCTGTAGCTTTGGAATCTGTCCTGGGACTCTCTCTGTAGACCAGGCTGGCCTCGAACTCACAGAGATCCACCTGCCTCTGCTTCCCGAGTGCTGGGATTAAAAGCCTGTGCCACCACTACCTGGCTCAGATTTCAAATTGTTAATTTTTGTGTGTAGGCACACATGTGGCCATCCACACCCTAGCACACTCAGGGTCAGAGGACACTTTCCAGAGTCAATACTGTCCTAGTACCTAATGGGTCCTGGGGGACGGACCCCACGCACAAGACTTGATGGCAGATGCCTTTACCCTCCGAGCTTGCCGCATCACTCATCAGAATTTAGACCTGCTCTTTGCCCCACCTCCTACCACACACACTCACCTCGTGGTCCTCCTGCTTCCAAACCAGTATGCTGGCATTGCAGGTGTGTGTTACCAGATGCAGCTCCCACTGCTTGATGAATGACTTTTGGTCTGTTAGTTGCCACGGTAACTATCTTTCTCCCTCTGATTGTTCCCCTCTATTGCCAGCCTGCCCTGGGCCACCTAAGCTGACTGGTGAACACACAGCAGAGCCTTTGAAAACTTCACAGGTGGTTTGACCTCTGCCTTTTAGTCTGTGCCTGAGGCCTCCTCCTCCAGGAAGCCTTCTGCGCTCTCTCTACCCAGCTAGGGGTAAGAGTGGCTATGCGGCATGTTGGGTCGCTGTTGATATATCCCCCCTCAACGCTGGGAGAGTTTATCGACCTTTCTGAACAGGTGAATGGTTTACTTTGACACAATTCTGAAGACTGAGCTGAGCACCTCAGTACACACCTGCAATCCCAGCACTCTAGATGCACAGAGTATTGATGTGTTCAAGGGCAGCCTGGTCTTGGTCTATATAGTGAGTTCCAGGTCAACCAGCCCTACACAGTGAGGCCTTGTTTCAAAGCTAATTGATAAACTGGGCAGTGGTGGTGCACATCTTTTATCCCAACTCTCCTGAGACAGAGGCAGGCACATCACTGAGTTTGAGATCAGCCTGGTCTAAAGAATGAGTCCCAGGCCAACTAAGATTCCACAGAGAAACCCTGGCTTGGGAAAATTTGTTTGGTTGGTTAATTAATTAAAGTAAATTAAATAGGCTCAACAAAATGGCTCAGTTTGTAAATAAAATAAAGGTATTCCAGCCGGGCAGTGGTGGTGCTCGTCTTTAATCCCAGCACTTGAGAGGTAAAGACAGGAGGATCTCTGTGAGTTTGAGGCCAATCTGACCTACAGAAGTAGTTTCAGTACAGCTAGGACTGTTACTGTCTCAAAACAAACTAACTAACTAACTAACAAAAATATATATGGACATTCCTCTCTTGGAGCCCCTCCTTCTCTTGGGAGTTCTTCCTTGCATTTCTTTAGTAGATCTGTGTTCACTCTGCTTTAAGAACACACACACACACACACACATATATATGTATGTATATATATATATATATATATATATACATATATATATATATATATCTGGGTGGTGGTGGTGGTGCACACTTTTATCACCCTGAGAGGCAGAAGCAGGTAGATCTCTGTGAGTTCGAGGCCAGCCTGGTCTATACAACAAGGTACAGTACAGTCAGAGTTACATAGAGAAACACTGCCATGACAGAGAGAGAGAGAGAGAGAGAGAGAGAGAGAGAGAGAGAGAATTTTGGAGTGACACATTTGCCCCAAGATTTACAGACACATTAAATATGCTAAAATACACGATATGCTTCAAGCAGAGCCCGAGAAGAAGCTCTTTGGTGCTGAGCTGGGCTGTGTTGCTCAGCTACCTTCCAGATGTTCAGCAGGCACCACAGGAGAGTGTAGCTCCCAGTGCAACAGTTTCCCTCCAGTGCAGCAGCCTCCTGTGCAGCAGCCTCAGGGCCTGACAAAAACCCAGCTACTGTAATAAATATAGATATATCTCCCCCCCCTTTTTTTGAGACAGTGTTTCTCTGTGTAGCCCTGGCTGTCCTGAAGATCAGATAGACCAGGCTGACCTGTAGACTAGGCTGGCCTCGAACTCAGAGATCTGCCTGCCTCCTGAGTGTTGGGATTAAAGGCACAAGTCACCACTGTGCAGATCAAGAGTAAATTTTTTTTAACAATAAGTAGGATTATTCTAATAATATTCTGTATTAAAAGTTATTTAAAATTGAGTTGAGCGGTGGTGGTGCACACCTTTAATCCCAGCACTTGGGAGGCAGAGGCAGGCAGATCTCAGTGAGTTTGAGGCCAGCCTGGTCTAGGATTGTTACACAGAGAAACTCGGTCTCGAAAAAAAACAAAACAAAAACAAATCATTTAAAACTTATAAATTGTTTCTTTCTGCTGTCATCCTTTAATGTTTCCACACAGCAGTTGGGTGTTTGTAACTGAGACCACAGAGGGAGAATGGGAGAGAGAGAGAGAGAGAGAAGGAAAAGCAGATTGAGGCGGGGGGCTACTGCAACTCCTGGGCTTCCTCAATTGTGTGTGTGTGTGTGTGTGTGTGTGTGTGAGAGAGAGAGAGAGAGAGAGAGAGAGAGAGAGTAGGATAAAAGTTTGCGCATGTGTTTAACACTCCCACTCAGGAGGCAGAGACAGGAGGACCTCTATGAGTCTGAAAACCAGCCTGGTCTCCATAGCGAGTTGCAACTCAAAACAAAAACAACAAAGTTTATGTCCTGAAGAACCAGGGACCTCTCAGTCAGACAGCGAAGGCCTCTCTGCAAACAGAACCTAATGCTATGTGGACGGGAATTCAGGTTGTTCCTCCTGGACGCGTGGGAACAGAATAGTAGTGGCTGGGGGCAGATTCAGGATAATCTCTCCTGGCGTGGGATGGAGTCTGAGGGTGAGGCCACAGGACAAGAGAGCTTGGGACCAGCCTTGGGACTGAGACCCAAATCCCCAGCCTGTTTCCTTCCACTGAGATGGAAGGGAAACATTTGGCTCTAAGGAGCTGCGAGTTAGTGACTGGGCAAGCGGAGTAGCCAACAACTTTGAAAACCGAGGACGCTTTATGTTGTTGGCTGAAGTTGCCTGAGACTCTCTGCTGGAGCACAGAGAGGAGTGCTACGGAGTCGGAGTCGGGGTAGATTGGGGAGTCGAGGGGAGAGTAGACCTGAGGGATCAGAGTTTCCCCAGGATGTACTGAAATCCGGGTAGCACATTGGGTGGCTTTGGGGACCGAGGATCCCTGTGCGCTGTGGGTTGCTGTCCCCGAGGCTCCAGCTGAAACGCAGGGTGGGGAGTCACAGAGTTGGGGTGGTGAAGGGAAGAGCAGGGAGCTTCTAGTAGCTGGGATCCCCCTGCACCAGCTGGATCGCAGGGTGAGCCCACCCATGACCCCCCTCCCTCCTCAGACAGACTCCACCCCCTCCAGAAGCAGCCCAAGGCCGTGCGCGGTGGCCCCCGCTGCCCGAGAGGCGGAGCGCGGCTGGAGGAGGCGGAGCAGGGCCGGGGTCGCAGAGACCGGAGCCCGGGAGGCGGGACCGGAGCTGGGGGCGGAGCTTCGGGACCAGCGGGGCTACGCACCGGGACCCCCGGGGACGGAGACGCGCGCCCCTCTCCAATCCCACGTTGCCTCGCAGCGTCCCGGCGGGGAGGAGCCGGCCACCGGAGTCACTCAGCGTCGCCAAAGTTTGATTCTCCTCCCCGGGAGGAGTCTCGGGGCCGCGGTCCCTCCGGGCACCGGGCGCCACCCGCCTCCCAGGCCGGGACCCGCATCTCCATCGCTCGGTGTCGGATCCGCAAGTCGGGAGGCGCCGCGGGCCTGCGCACGCGCCGCCGCCCTCGCCATCCTCCCCGTGGTGCTCCAGACCCCCTCCCCCCCAAGTTCACGAGTTACGCGAGTGGACCGGCGGCGCGGGACCCGCGCGGGGCCATGGAGGAGCCGCTAGGGTCGCCGCCTGCCGCCCTGTCGGCGCTGGAGAAGAACGTGGCGGAGCTGACCGTCATGGATGTGTACGACATCGCGTCGCTCGTGGGCCACGAGTTCGAGAGGGTCATCGACCAGCACGGCTGCGAGTCCATCGCGCGCCTCATGCCCAAGGTCGTGAGGGTCCTGGAGATCCTCGAGGTGCTGGTGAGCCGGCACCACGTAGCACCCGAGCTGGACGAACTGCGCCTGGAGCTGGACCGGCTGCGCGTGGAGAGGATGGACCGCATTGAGAAGGAGCGCAAGCATCAGAAGGTGGGCGGAGGCCTCAGTTTGCCGGTCCGGGCAAGGGGCTCCAACTCCGTGGGGGCCATTCGGTTCTGGGCAGCGCTAGTTTCCGTGTGGATGAGTGTACACAGTGCCTAGAGTAGAAGAGAATGTTTAGGGTGAAGGAGGGAGGGAGGCTCCGGTCGTCTTGGCCCAGCTTGGAGCATTTAGAGCTGTGTGACCTTGGGTAACTTGCAGAGGATCTCTGGGCTTTGTCTCCTGGTCTGTCCAGTGGCGGCTACAGTAGAACCCACCTCCGTGGATCAAATGGGATGCCGTGGGCGCAGTACTTAGAAAGTATTATTTTATTCCAGGAAGGAAATCAGTCCCCACCCACCTTTTTTTTGTTTTGTTTTTTTGTGACCAAGGTGTGATACCAGCTACCCAGCCCTCTCTGTCATCCTATCAGTGACCTCAGTGTGATCGCCAGCCCTGAGCCCCATCCCCGGCTTTATGGACGCAACTTTCTTCCCAGCGTTCCCCCAGTTTATCCACCTGCACCCTCAGGTGTCTTCCCAGCCTTCATCGTGTCTTTAGTTCTTTTACAACTATAAAGTGAGGATTTTCGTCATTTTCCGGATGAGGAAGCAGAGGATTGGAATGCAAAGGGATTTACCCCCGTTTCCTGCCCTTGGGAGATACTTCCGGGGTCTCTTCTCCAGTCTGCTTGAATCGGGGCGCTGAACCGCTGCAAGCGACTTTCAGGCCCACCTTCTGCCTTTAGAGCGGTATCGTCTGCCTTTGGGAAACCAGACCAGACCAGACTAGGTGCCTGGGGTAGGGAAGTGGGAGACGTGTGGTTTCCTGCCCCAACCTCAGCCTGGGCGGCTCTGGAAGGCCCTCTCTCCGACTGGGGATGGGAGGAAACTCCTTTCCTCTGGATGCTGGAACCTGTTCTGGCTTGCTGTGTGGCCTCAGGAAGTTTGGATAGCCTCTCTGAAGCTCCCTGGCAGGCCATCCTCTATTGTGTACTGTTGCGATAGATCTTCAGTCGTCTTAAGAGACAATGGTCAAAACTAGGTGTTCGGCCTCACCCAGATGACAGACCAAGGGTGTGTGTGAGTGTTATGGTCAGGCCGGTCTATGTTTACAACCCCCCTTGTCCTGTGCCCTGAGAGGTCAGGAAGGAAACTGAGCTCTTCAGAGTCAGTTGCATTTCCAGGGTTACACTTGGAGCCAGAAAGTGCCTCCCTGGGTCCTGTAATTAATTTTCAGAATCTCAGCGTCTGTGGGACAGTGGAGCCAGACAGCCTGGTTTCAAACCCCACAAACTGGCAGGCTGTGGGCTTTGGGACAGATCCTCTGTGTCATGGTGTCACAGGGTAATCTCCCTCCCCACCCTGGAGGGTTGGGGTGAATAGTGGACATAAAAGACCTAGGCCAGGGCCTGGGACCTACAAAAACGGTCTCGTGCATAAAGGAGTTTGTCACTAGAGGCCCAAGACTCAGAGGTGTGAAGTCTGGGGAGACACACTAAGATGCCCCCAGGAGTTATTGGTGCATTTCCATCCCCATTTCCCTCCCCTATCTCCCCCTTTCCGTGCCCCCCCCAGATATTCCACCTCTCCTGGAGGGCCTCCGGGAGGGAGGTCTTTGCCTTCCAGCTGAATCCTGACTGTGGGCTTAGGCCGGGTGTCTGCCAGAAGTCCCGCTGGCACTTTTTCATGTCCCTTGCCAGTGCTTTATTTCTGCTATGTCTGGGCTGGGCCATCGCAGGTCACCCAAGTCGGATGGAATTCTCAGCTGCACTTGTTGCTTCAGAATGTCAGCAGCTGCAGCCAGGAAGTCAGGCACCCGCCTTGTTTGTACACAGCTAGAATGGGACTCCTCCTCCCCAGCCCAGGCCTCTTTGTGTGGTTTGGGTGCAGGGTCCGAACAGGCCCATCAGATTTCTTCTGTAACAGAGGCACTTCAAGCCAAAATAATTTCCCCCACAAACTCCTCAGCACCCCTTGATCACGCCTTCCTCTTCCCTACGCTCTCTGTAGACATGGCTACATGTAGACTGGCTGCATCCTGCCCTTCACATAGATTTACTCTACTGGGCTCATCACTCAGCCCCAGGCCACAGACCCACAATTCTGCCTGATTATGCAGTGTCCAACCCTATGGATGTGCCATGGTGTGCCAAGTGCTCTCATGGGTGATGTGGGCCAGCCGAGTCGGGTCCTCAAGGCAGACAGCCGGTGGGTGAGAGAATAGAGAGCCGGGCCATGTGGCTATGCCAGTCTGTGCCATTCACTCAGCAATTATATGGATATAGTTTTAAAACTGGAGATTCAACCCCGGGCCTTACTCATGCCAAGCAAGCCTCTACACGCCACACCCCCAGGCCCCAGATGTACCTCCGTGTTCCAGGCACCATTTGGGGATGCAGGGGATGCAGGGGATGCAGGGGATGCAGGGGAAGGTCTAGCTGCTGTGGGCCTGCAGTTCTAGGCCATGCCATTCCATAGCGTCAGAATGTGTATGCTAGCAGGAAACATAGAGAGTTCACTTTAACACGGAGGATGGAAACCAGTGTATCCATGACTTTATCACACAGATTCAGCATAAAAATTGCTGCTTTCTACTTTTTCTGCGGTACTGCAGGTCAAATCCCGGCCTCAGACATGCTCAGCAGGTACTCCTCCACCACCCCCAGTGTAAGAATTATTGCACATTTATAATTTAATTTTAGTTTATATGTATAAGTGTTTTGCCTCCGCATTTGTCTGTGTACTGCATTCTTTGTGCCCACAGAGGCCAGAAGAGGGTGACTGGAGTTACAGACAGCTCTGAACCTCCATGTGGGTGCTGGGAATTGAACCCTGGTCCTCTGGAAGAGCAGCCAGTGCTCTTGAACGCTGAGCCGTCTCTCCAGACTCATTAATATTTTTTAACCTTTCGTTTGTTTGAAACAGGGTCTCTCTGTAAATCCTGTAGACCAGGCTGGACTTGAACTCACAGAGATGCACCTGTCTCTGCTTCCCTATTATTGATTGAAAGCGTGCACCTCCATGCCTAACTTGCACAGAGTTTTTATTTATTTATTTATAAAGATTTATTTATTTATTATGTATACAACATTCCTGCCATGTATGCTTGCATTCCAGAAGAGGGCACCAGATCTCATAATAGATGGCTGTGAGCCACCATGTGGTTGTTGGGAATTGAACTCAGGACCTCTGTAAGAGCAGTCGGTGCTCTTAACCTCTGAGCCATCTCTCCATACCTATTTATTTATTTTTGAGGCAGGGTCTGATGTATCCCAGGCCAGCGCAGAACTTGTTATATATCAAAGGATGACCTTTGGCCTCTGATACTCCTGTCTCTAGCCCCCTGGTGCTGGAATACAGGTGTGAGTCACTGGCCGAGTTCGTGCAGTGCTAGGAATGGAACCCAGGACGTCGTGCATGCCAGGCAAACGCTCTCCTTACTGAGCCACAGGTTTTATTACTTTTATTTATTTATTGTTTACGGGCAGGAGCTATACATGTGGAAGTCAAAGGACAAGCCACAAGCTTCACTTCTGTCCTTCTACCATGTGGGTCCCTGATCAAGTCAGGCCTGATGAGACAACTTGCAAGGGCCCCCATTCTTCTCATAACCTCACATTTGAAATCCAGCATGCCTGGGCGGTGGTGGCGCTAGCCTTTAATCCCAGCACTTGGGAGACAGAGACAGGTGGATCTCTGTAAGTTTGAGGTCAGCCTAGTCTACTAAGTGAGTTCCAGGATAGCCAGGGCTGTTACACAGAGAAACATGAGAAACATTGTCTCAGGAAAGAAAGAGAGAGAGAGAGAGAGAGAGAATCCAACCTATATTTCACCTGGACTAGCATGAGTGCATATATTTAAAAATAAACAGATATGTCAGCTTCTGATTAAGTGCCGTGAAGGAAGTAAAGTGGGAGCTATGATGGAGGTTGTCTAGGAGGCAGGCTGTTGGGGAAGTTCCTGATGAGACATTGCCTCAGCTGAGGGCTGGCTGTAGTGAGGAGCTAGCTACGGAGAGATCTTGGGGGGAGGCCCATATCTACAAGCACACACACACACCTACACACAGTTAAAAGTAAATCTTTAAAAGAAAGAAAAGGAGAAAAAAATGATTGGGCTGTAGCTCGGTTGCCAGAGTGCCTGCCTAGCTTACATGAGGGCCTGGGTTCGATTCCCAGCACCGTAGAAAATAGACATGGTAAGCACGTCTGTAATCCTAACGCTAGGGAAGTGGAGGCGAGAGGATCAGGATTTCAAGGCCAGCCTTGTCTACAGAGGGAGTTTGAGGTCAACCTGGGCTCAGGAGGAAAAGCAAAACCGATTGTGACTAAATCTGTATTCATCTCCTGTGGCTGCACTAATGGCTCAAGGAAGGACAAATGTCCTGGGTAATTCCTGCAGTGGGCACACTAAGGGGCGGTGGAGCAAGGAATCATGGGTAATACCAAAAACACCAATGTGGGTCGGACTGGGTAATGTTCTGGAAGCCAGGGCCGAGAAATGGGTTACACTGAACAGCTGGGCCTGGTGGTGCATTTGGCAGCTGAGGCAGGAGGACAACAAGTTTTAGGCCAACCTAGGTAACTTAGTGATGCTCTGTCTCAAAAACCTCACAAGGGGCTGGGGAAGGTGCTTTGGGTGTGCGAGCCCTGGGCGCTGTCCCCAGCACCAAAAACTATAATATTAAAAAATAAAATCAAGGTGTCAGGGAAGCTCCACTGGTTTAGGATGCTCTAGGGGAATCTATTTCTTTGTGTTTTTCAGCTTCTACATCTGCCTCCCCTGGCTCATGGCCGCTTCCTTCCTCCTCAGAGTCAGCAGATAACATCTTCCAGGTGCTAGCCATGTCCTCTGTCACTCTGACCCCTGCTGACCCTTCACAAGGACTCCGTGATCACGTGACCACATAAACCCAGCTGATCTTTTTATTTATTTGATTATTTATTTTTTGGTTTTCTTAGACGGGGTTTCTTTGTGTAGCTTTGGAGCCTGTCCTAGAACTCACTCTGTAGACCAGGCTGGCCCCGAACTCACAGAGGTCCACCTGCCTCTGCCCCCTGAGTGCTGTGATTAAAGGCGTGCACCACCACCGCCCAGCCCTACCAGATCTTCTTGAGGTCAAAGTCCCTTTTGCTGTAGAAGGTAACATATTGATGGGTTCTGGGGACTAGGACGAGGATGACTTTGTGGGGGCCATGGTTCCATCTGCTCTGCTGGTTACTCCTGATAGCCACTTGGGCCATTCTGTGTGCCCAGCACCAACCTTTTCATCCAGCTGACTGCCTCATCACCCCACAGTCCTCAAAGGAACATACTGTTATCACATCTAGGGCACCTGCCCAAGAGCAGCTGTTTGTCATAGGAACAGAGTTCAAGCCTGGATTGATGTATCTAGGCCTAGTGGTACAAGCCTATAAGCCCAGCTACTGGGGAGACTGAGGCAGGAGAATCAAACAAGGTCTGCCTATGCTACAGAGTGAGTTCAAGTCCAGCTTGGATAACTTAGTGAGACCATATCTAAAAAGAGACCTGCAGGTGTGACTCAGTGGTAGAGCACCTGCCTAGAATCCCCCAGTGAGGGACCGGGGTGTGACTCAGTGGTAGAGCACCTGCCTAGAATCCCCCAGTGAAGGGCTATGGCTGTTCAATGGGAGAATACTTGTCTAGCATGTGTGAGGCCCTGAGTTCCATTCCCAGCACCTCAGGCAAACGAGCTTGTGTTGACAGGATGCAAATCGCTGTCCTTCAGCTTGGGTTATATCCAAAGCCAGCCATGCTGCTCCCCAGCCTCATTCACACCTCCGAGTGGTTGCTTCCATGTTCACAGTTGCACAGACAGCACCATCGTAAAGTTGAGAATGTTTGCATTGCCTTCGAAGAGGAACCTGTGCACGCTGACCGCTAACTGTCACTCCTGGCGCCTCTCAGAGCTCTGGCCAGAAGCCCCAGATAGCCTCTCTCTCTGTGGATTTGCCCATTGGCACATTTTATAGAAATGGCATCACGGACTGTGTGACCTTTTTCACCTGGCTTCTCTTCTTAGCTGGGGATGGTGCTAGCTGCACTTCTTTCCTTTTTTTGTCCAGATATAGCCCGTTGTAGGGATAGGTCGGTTTTATTTACGCCTTTCTGGGCTGGTGAACTCTGACTGACTTCTGCAGCATTGCTATAGACCAGCAGTTCTCAACCTGTGGGTCATGACCCTGGGGGAGGTCAAATGACCCTTTTACAGGGGTTGCCTAAGACCACCAGAAAGCACAAATATTTACCTTATAATTCATAACAGTAGCAAAATTACAGTTATGAAATAGTCACAAAAATAATGTTATGGTTGGGAGTCACCACAACATGAGAAACTGTAAAAGGCCCTCATTAAAAAGGTCCTGTAAAGGGGTCACAGCATTAGGAAAGCTGAGAATCACTGCTATAGGCACCTGTATGCATACATGATCATGTGGGTGTGGACCTGTCTTCTCTTTCCTGGGTCTCTCTCTCTCTTTCTTTCTTTTTTGGGAGAGTGGGGGTGAGATGACCCAGGCTGCTGCTTTGCTGCTTCTCTCTCTCTCTCTCTCTCTCTCTCTCTCTTTCTTTCTTTCTTTCTTTTTTTCTTTCAAGATTTATTTATTTATACAATATCCTGCCTGTAGGCCAGAAGAGGGCACCAGATCTCATTACAGGTAGTTGTGAGCCACGATATGATTGCTGGGAATTGAACTCAGGACCTCTGGAAGAGCAGTCAGTGCTCTTAACCGCTGAACCATCTCTCCAGCCCCCTCTTCCTTCCTTCCTTCCTTCCTTCCTTCCTTCCTTCCTTCCTTCCTTCCTTCCATTTCTTCTTTCTTTCTTTCTTTCTTCCCTCCCTTCCCTTCCCTCCCCTTCCTCTTCCTTCTCTTCTTCCTCCTCTTCTTCTTCCTCCTCCTCCTCTTCTTCCTCTCCTTCCTCCTCCTCTTTCTTTTTCCCAAGACAGGGTTTCTCTATGTAGCCCTACCTGTCCTGGAACTCACTCTGTAGACCAGACTGGCCTCAAACCCAGAGTTCCACCTGCCTCTGCCTCCCAAGTGCTGGGATTAAAGGCGTGCACCACCACCACCCGGTTCTGCCTCAGCTTCTTGAACGCTGGGCCCACATGTGTATGGGGCTATAAAAATAGATTCACATGAATGAAGGTGTCTGCGGAGGGCAAAAAAGGTATTGGGAAGCAAACTTGCGTCCTCTGTCAGGGCAGTTCGCTCTCTTAACCCCCGAGACACTGTCACAGTCCCTTTGGAAATATCTTAGGTTTTTCTGGGATGTTCTTATGGTCCAGGTTAACCTCTAACTTGAAGACGTCTTTCTGCCTCAGCCGCAGTCTCCACAAACAGCTGGCGATGAACTAATCTCACTAACTCCCTTACATGTCTTTCAAACCTGGAAGTTTTGGTTCCCTAGCTGAGGGAAACCGAGGCTCTGAGTGATTACTGCAAGCTGCCCAGGCTGTCCCAGAGAGCAGAGGAACTCTGACGCTGCCTCTTTGTACCTTGAAGAAATGACTGGGGATTGTCAGGACTCTGTAGCCAGGGATGGCCTGTCCACACAGCTGAGGAACACAGGTATGGCCTGGACTGACTCCTCCTGACTTCAACAGGCACGTCAACAGAAGAGGCCCTGTCTGGTTCTGTGTGCTACCTGCCGGAGACCCGCTTCTCTTGGGGGAATGGGGTGGCTCCAAGTACCAGAAACAGAGCAGTTCTCTGATGGGCAGGTGAGACCCTGGGTGGCTCCGATCCTTCTGTGACCCTTGCTGTCATCCCGACAGGAGCTGGAGCTGGTGGAGGATGTGTGGCGGGGTGAGGCGCAGGACCTCCTGTCCCAGATTGCCCAGCTGCAGGAGGAGAATAAGCAACTGTTGACCAACCTCAACCACAAGGATGTGGGCTTCTCTGAGGAGGAGTTCCAGAAACAGGAAGGTGAGGTCCCCCACCCCAGTGATCCCCATGACTGCTCAGAGACCGCTGCCTCTGTTTTGGAGCCTTTGGCACCAGTGGGCAGGTGAATTTGCATCTTGACTGTCTCAGAGAGGAATGACTTAGGTCCAGATGTTGATGTAATCTCAATTAGCTGACGCAGTTTTCCGTCCTCCTACATGATTCCTCTGGGCCCTAGGACACATTGGACAACCCAGACCCTGGCCACTTGAAACTTTGTTTTAGCATAGAGGGCATCGGCAGTAAATAAATGGACCATAAATAGATGTCTAATTTTGATTTATGGCAGCTGACACTATGTGAGAGCTGAGACGGGGGCATAGGGTAACAACCTGGGGTCCAGTCGTCGGATGGTCACAGTTCAGCCCTAATGAAGTGGCACACTGAGTCACGTTAGTGCCATGAATGAGTGGTACGTGCCAAGACCCTGGCATGAGTATTTGTGGGAAACATAGAAGGCCAGGGTACGAGAAGATGGTCAAGGCTGAGGGGGCTGGAAATAAGGTCAGAGGAGACCACGGCTGGGATTGCTCTCTGTGTTTAAAGGGGTTTCAGGCTGTGGTCCCAGAACAGGTGACTGGCAGGGAAGCGGGGACAGCAGTTCTGGTTTGATTGGCACTGGAGGCCATCAAGTGCTGTCTGTCCCATAAACTTCTCTGGGGCTGGGCAAACAAGACTAGACAGGGGAGTTTGCTCTGGGTCCTTGTGAGCTCCGTCTGCTCTGCCTGGCCTGCAGCCTTCCCTTGATGTGGGATCCTGCCTCCTGTAGCTGACGCCGCGGAATCGAATCTCAGATTTCTTTCTTTTGTATTAATTTGTTTTGGTTTGGTTTGGTTTTTGGTTTTTTGGTTTTTTAGATTTTTTGTTTTTGTTTTTGTTTTTGAGACAGAGTTTCTCTATGTAGCCCTGACTGTGCTGGAACTAGCTCTTGTAAACCAGGCTGGCCTTACCGCAGAGATTCACCTGCATCTGTCTCCCGAGTGCTGTGATTAAAGGTGTACACCACCACTGCCCAACTTGTTTTGTTTTTGAGACAGGGTCTCACTGTGTAACCCTGGCTTTCCTGGCACTTGCTATGTAGACCAGGCTAGCCTCCAACTCATCAGACTTTGCCTTCTGGTGCTGGAATTAAAGAAGTGGGCTGCTACACCTGGCTGCAGCCTGGCTTTTCAGCCTGAGCAAACCCCTGGCTGTCCACATGAAGCCCCACCCTCTGGTTTTATGTACAGGAGTAGATTGGGATGAGGGCCCTTTGAATTTGTGGTTATAACTTTGAGAGGATCAAGTTTGGGGCTGGGCTGTGGCTCAGTTGTTAGAGTCTTTGCCTAGCATGTGCGAGGTGCTGGGTTGGATCCCAAGCACTGCATACACTGGGTGTGGTGGCCATGCCTGTAATCTGAGCCCTCAGGAGGCAGAAACAGGAGGATCTCTCTGAGTTTGAGGCCAGCCTGGTCTACACAGTGAGTTCCAGGACAGCCAGAACTGCACAGAGAAATCTTGTATTGAAAAAAAGTAAAGTAATAGGTGCTTTTGGCTAAGCCTGACAGCATGAGTTTAACCCCCAGGTTCCACATGGTAAAGGGAGAGAGTGGACATTGTCCTCTGGCCTCCCCACAAGTAAGTGTGACGTGCGCGCACACACACACACATGGAGATACACTTGCACACACATGCACACACATACATACACACACAAATATAATAAAATTAAAAACAAATGAAATAGGGTTTTGATAAGGACTGAAGAAAAAAACAAAAAATACACAGTGAGCCCAGGTCTGGAATTCTCTTCTCCTGGTGTCCTTTGTGGTAATGTGTTGGATGGACTAGAAACCAGGGCGTTACTGTGAGGAGGTGGTCTCTGGAGCCAGACCACACCGCTCTAACTGCTGGCCGCAGCACTGACGTGCCGTGTCGTTTGACGACTCACAGACCGTCCTGTGCCTTTGTCGCCCAGTTTGAAAGGGAGAAAGCGGTAGTGGTACCTCCCTCATAAGTTTGTCTGCCTTCCTAGTGTTTTCAAGGTCTGCCTTTATTTGTGTGATGTCAGTGGCTTCTCTGTCTCTTTTCACAGCTGCGTACTGTTCCATCCCCTCGACACACCATGTCTGTCATTCCTCCACAGGTTGGGACTTTCAGGTTGTGGCCACTTTTTGGCTTCTATGAACAGCTTTCGGGTGTTTGTGTAATCATTTTATTTAGAAATATAATCTTGGTTTTTGCCCACCATAGTCCTGCCATGCACCTCGAGACCTCTGGGGGTGATCTGGGAACCCTGCTGCCTACTCTAGCAGAGTCTCAGAGGTCTCAGGCAGCTCTGAGCTGCCTTCCCTGTGGCCCCTTCCCTCTGGGAGTGTAGCTCTGCCCTTGCAGCTTCCCCAATCCCCGCTGACCAGTGTGGACCAGCGTAAGGTGTATCCAGGAGATAACCTGAGCATCAAGTGTGCCCGGCTTCCATGGGACCAGCTGGGGAGCTGGCTGTGTTCTCCAAGCCCGCAGCCCCCACCCTAGCAAAGAGGCAGGCAGATGCCAGGCTGCCTTCAGGGTTATTTTTACTTTGTGGGGAAACCATGGGAACACAGCAGGGACCAAGTGTTCCCCACCTACTAGAGGAACAGGCATGGGGCAGGCAGTGCCCTGGGATAAAGAGGGCAGGTGCTGGTGACCTTGAGTCCCAGTCAAGAGTGGCAGTGGAACAGGGCCATGGCCAAGGCCATCTGAGGACTCAGGTGAATTTTCTTACTCTGGCCCCACGATATAACACCAAAATCTTCTTTTTTACTTTTTACTCTTTTAGTTTTTGTTTTTTTGGGGGGGGGGGTCTACTACCCAGCTCCCAAAGAAATCACACGTGGAGAGACCTATTATTACTTATAAAGGTCCAGCCTTACCTTGACTTGTTTCTAGCCAGTTTTCCTTAGCTTTAAATTATTTTTTGCCTCTGGAATTTCTCCTTCTCTTACTTCTGCATCCCTTACTTTCACTCTGACTCTGTGGTCAGCTGTGTAGCTGACCCCTGATGTCCTCCTCTCCTTCTTCTCTCCTCGCCTTCTTCTGGTCTTGCTCCTTCTATTTATTCTCCCTGCCTGCCAGCCCCGTCTAGCCTGTCTCCTGCCTCACTATTGGCCAGTCAGCATTTTTAGACCATCAGGTGTTTGAGACAGGTAAAAACTCACCACTTCACAGAGTTAAACAAAAGCAGCACATCTTTACACCGTTAAACAAATGCTCCAGGGCATAAGCAGATGTCACACATCTTACTATAATTTCCGCGGCTCTCAGGTACAGGGGTCAGATTTCTGTGCGGGCGAGCTGGGGGAGGAGGGGCCGCTGAATTTCTGAGTAGCAGCAGGTGCTGTGTTCAGGTCTCATATCTCCACAGAAGCCTTACAGTTTAAAAGTCCCCTCTGGGGGCTGGAGAGGTGACTCAGTGGTTAGGAGCACTGGCTGCTCTTCTAGATGGACCCAGGTTCAATTCCTAGCACCCACATGGCAACTCATAACTGTCTGTAACTCCAAGATCTGATACTCTCACACAGACATACATGCAGGGAAAACACCAATGCACATAAAATAAAAATAAATAAAATTTTAAAAATCCCCTGTGGTAGCCAGGAGGTGGTGGTCCTCACCTTTAATCCCAACACCCGGGAGGTTTAAGGCCCGCCTGGTCTATAGTGGAGTGGCGGGACAGCCGGGCTATACAGAGAAGCTCTCTTTCGGAAAAATGAAAGCAAAATAAAACAGAAACCCTCTCTGGATCTTTTTGGGAATCTGTCCAGTTCGAGAGCTGTTCACACACAGGGCTGTGAATTGAGTGTCCAGCCTAGGGTAGAAGGGGTACAGAGGACTCTTGGATCTGCCAGTGGCCCTGGGCTCTGGGAGAGTGACTTTGTCACCAGGAGCAAAGCAAAGCTGACCAAGCAGTCATTTTTGTTGTTTCTTCTAGATTTTTATTTGTGTGTCTGCCTGCATGTATGTCTGTGTACCCTCTGTGTGCCTGGTGCTATGGCAGTCAGTAGAGATCATTGGATCCCTAGAACTGGAATAAGGATTGTGAGCCGCCATGTGGGTTCAGGGAGCTGAACCTGGGCCCTCTGCAAGAGCCATAAGTGCTCCATCTAGCCCCCCCTTTTTTTTTTTTTTGCTTTTTTTGTTGTTGTTGTTGTTTCTTCAAGACAGGGTTTTTCTGTGTAACAGCCTTGGCTGTCCTGGAACTTGCTCTGTAGACCAGGCTGGCCTCGAACTCACAGAGATCTGCCTGCCTCTGCCTCCAGAGTGCTTGGACTAATGGCTTGTACAACCACACCCTGCTTCACCAAATGCCTGAAAGGCACTTTATATGTGGGAGGGCTGCTGCTTAGTACTCAGCTGCCTTAGCCATGGTCTGCTAGGTTGTGGGGGGAAGCTACTGTCCAGGCCACCCACCAAATGCTGTGTCCTAGTGATATTGTGTGCATGTTGGTTCCACCCATCCTCCAGCTGCTACCGTCCCATTTTGTGAATTTGGAAACAGACAAGAGGCCAGAGCCACACAGCCAAGCGTAGCCTTCAGGGTTAGTGTGAACTTTGGAGGCTAACCTCTAGATCACGGTGCAGGGTTATGTCTGTCGTGACGTGTGGGGACGTGTTGTGAAAGCGAGGCAGTGGGTGGGAGTGTTTCTGGGTAGAGGGTGGGAGCCATCACGCAAAGGGAACCAATGAGAGGAGTCTTGTGTGCCATGATCCCAAGGTCAGAAGGAAGCAGGGAGAGAGAGGGAGAGAATGTGCTCAGCAAGACTGAAGGCAGGAGCTGCCCCAGGGTGTGTATGGGGTACACGAGAGGCTTTGGGGAGAGCCCTGGCCCGCTTGCAGTGCGACACTATGGGGGGCTTAAGCCGAGGGGAGGTGGCTCACCTCCCGGTCTTGCCTTCACCCAGGCATGTCAGAGAGGGAGCGGCAGGTGATGAAGAGGCTGAAGGAAGTGGTGGACAAGCAGAGGGACGAGCTCCGAGCCAAAGACAGGGAGCTTGGCCTGAAGAATGAAGACGTCGAGGCTGTAAGTGATCAGCTCCAATCTGAGCCCACTTTCCTACTTCATGGTGCCATGGGGGCGGGGCCTGAGAGATGGCTCAGCAGTAAGAGCATCTGCTGCTCTTCCAGAGTAGAGCTCAGCTCCCAGCACCCACCTGACAGGTTGTAACCGTTCGCAACTGCAGTCTCGGGAGCTCTGACACCGTCTTCTGGCCTTCACGGGCACTAGACACGTGTGGCGCACAGATATACACATAGGCGAAACACATAGCCGTATAAAAAGTAAATAGATCTGAAAAAGAAGCCCACGTGTGTATCACTCCTTGTCAACAGTCATAAAAATAGAAACAAATTAGAAAGGTGTTTATGATGTACATGTTCTACTCAAAGAGGGTTTCCTTTGTGCCATACACAGCCTGGGTTACTGTTGTTCGTGGTTTCCTGTCGTTCATGGGTTACTGTCGTCCGTGGTTTCCTGTCGTCTGTGGGTTACTGTTGTCCATGGTTTCCTGTTGTCCGTGGTTTCCTGTCGTCTGTGACTTCCTGTCATCCGTGGTTTACTGTCGTCTGTGGTTTCCTGCCGTCCGTGGCAGCTTCACTAAATGCCTTTCTCTCTACAGCTGCAACAGCAGCAGACGAGGCTAATGAAGATCAACCATGACCTTCGACACCGGGTCACAGTGGTGGAGGCCCAGGGGAAGGCCTTGATTGAGCAGAAGGTCGAGCTTGAGGCAGATCTGCAGACCAAGGAGCAGGAGATGGGCAGCCTGCGGGCAGAACTCGGGAAGCTGAGGGAGAGGCTGCAGGGCGAACACAGCCAGAACGGGGAGGAGGAGGCCGAGGTGAGCAGCAAGGCTGGTGTGAGGTGCGTGGGAACTCAAGTTGTGGGCCAGCCCCATGTAGGAAGAACTGCCTTGTTTCCCCCATTGTAGCTAAGAAGGTAGGAGGCACCAAGAGAGAAAGAGGGAGAGAGAGAGATATCCTGGCCTGAGGACACCAACTGGGAATGGTCAGAGCTGGACCCGAAGCCTAGGTCTCCAGCATCCCAGAGGGCATGCAGTTCGGTGATGGCCACTGAGCTTCATTCATCATTCATTCGCTCATTCATTCATTCGTCCATCCATTCGAGTGACTGTTGACTGTAGCAGGCACAGAGGATGGGATGGTAAGAATTGCCTAGCCCTGGCTACTGTCCCATGGAGCATGTGTTTATATGGACTGGAAGTTCTAGATGGATACCCAAGAGAACTGAACACGTGTCCATGTAAAAACCTGTATAAGGGCCTGGAGAGATGGCTCAGCACTTAAGAGCACTTGTTGCTTTTTCAAAGGACCCCGGTTTAGCTCCTAAGCCCCCATGTTTGGAGGCTCACAACTGTTCTAACTCCAGCTCCGGGGCATCTGTTGCTCTCTCTGCCCTCTGTGAAAACCTGTATCTATGTGTACACATACGCACATCCAGACACTCGTACACACATTTAAAAAAAAAAGTGCAAGCTAACTCAATGGCTCATACCTGGAATCCTAGCGCTCAGGAGTTTAAGACTCTAGAATTAGAAGTTTCACCGGGTGGTGGTGGCGCACGCCTTCAATCCCAGCACTCGGGAGGCAGAGGCAGGTGGATCTCTGTGAGTTCGAGGCCATCCTGGTCTACAAGAGCTAATTCCAGGACAGGCTCCAAAAAAAAACCTAAACCCAAAAACAAAAAAAAAAAAAAAAGAAGAAGAAGAAGAAGTTGTTTAAATTTAAGATGGTTCTGGACTGTGTATCAAATTCTAAACTAACCTGAGCTATGTGAGACCCTGTCTCAAAGGTAAAAATAAAACCTAGAAAGAAAAACGACCCAGATGCTCACAGTAGTGTTACTCATCAGGTCTGACCGATGGAACAGATACCCGATTAGGAAGTGAGAACGGAAATGTGGCCATACATAGTCCACACCAGGGAATATGACTCAGCCCTGAAAAAGATTGAGTCACAAGCAACGCCCAACTCCAGAGGTGAACCTTGAAGTGGTCTTGATGAGTGGGGATAGGCCAGACTCGGAAGGCCTCATGCTGTGTATCTCCCGTGTCTCTAAGATTCTGGATTGGGCAGGTCCAGGCCAGAGTGTAGATGGGTGGCGTAGGGACTAGGGCAGTGGTGAGTGTTTCTTTGGGGAGGAGGGAAAAGTTCCGGAATTAGAAAGTGGTGGTGGTTGCACACCTGAGAATATTCTGAAGCTCCCTGAACTTTATTCTTTGAAGGGTAGATAGTGTGGTATGTGAATTACATATGGATGATTTTAACATTTGTTTATTGTGTGTGTGCGCACGCACATGTGCCACAGTATGTGGAGGTCATTTTCCTCCTTCTGCCGTGTAGGTTTGTTTGGGATGGGCTCAGGGGGCTTTTCCAGGAGGTGATTGACAGGAGTAAGGATAGAGGAGGAGGGGGAATGAGTTCCAGGCGGGAAGAATGACCTGTACAAAGGCCCTGTGGCGGGAGGAGCCTCAGGGACCAGGAGGCATCACGGTGAAGGTGGCTGGTGTGCAGTGAAGGGGAGTGAAGGGCTGCCCAGCGGTCCGGGTGGAAGTTGGGGCCAGGCCTGCAGGCTCCTAAGGGAGAGGAGTTTGTGTGCATCTGAGAGATTGACAGGTGTGTGTGGGGTCGGGGGGAGTCCCAGGAGTTTATGGCCTCATATAGAAGGGAAGGACTGAGCCCCAGCATAGCCACCCTGGAGAGGAGAGACTGTCCCGGCAGTGAGATATTAGTCTCACTTGTCTCTCTCAGGAAGAGCTGGTGATCAATGCTTCCAGCTAAACCTACACTTGAGAGGTGACTCCTGAGGCAGCATGTGACAGGGAAGGGGGAAGGTGAACAGGAGTCCTGGTGGCAAGGCCAAGGACACTCACCTGCTGGGGCTGCTAAGAAGTACCCAGGCCGTCTCAGAGCTGACCGCGGGGTGACACTAGGTTCTGCCTCAGAGTGGCTAAAGGCCGCATGGGTTGTGAGTTTCCCATGCCCTGAAGATGCAAACAAGAAGGCAGAGGCATGCGGCGAGCGCCAGAGGCCTCCCTGCCTGCAGATGGAGCCGTCAGGGGGCCCAGGGCCAGGAGGCGGGTGCAGTGGGTCTGACACAGATAACCCCAGGCGGGGCTCAGAGCCCCCCAGATGGGCCTGCAATGCCAGCAGCTGGCAGAACTTCCAAGGTGCAACTTTCCTGTGGCTGGCGGAGGGAGGAGAGGGTCAGGGAAGAGCTGCGGGCATATCCATAGGTAGCAAGTGAGACTGAGTCCCCAGTGGCCTCGTTAGTCACCCTGCAAAGGAGATGAACTTATAGGCAGCCGAGTTCCAGCCTGAGAGGTCTGTGCCTAGCCAACAGCTGATGCGTCTGGACCAGCTGCTTCTGAAGGATTAGAATCTGGGGAGAGAATAAGGAAGAAGTCATCTTTAGAGGGACAGGGATAGGACCCGATTTGGGCGTATAGTGTCATGAAGTCAAGTTACGTGTTGAAGGAGAGAGAGAAAGGTACACGTGTTGTCTGACTGGAGTTGAAGGTCGGACAGCTTCAGGTCAGCTGGTTCTAGGGGCTCAGAGGACGGTAGCAGGAATTCTGGCTCAGGGGCTCTGGTTACGACATGGTCCCTGATAGCCACCTGCTCAGCGAGCCTCTTCCCGAAGAGTCCCAACAGAAGTCTTGAGACTGGCTCCTCGCTGCGTCAGCCCTGTGTGGAGAGGCCTACAGATAGGAACAGTGCCCTTCTGATTCCCTGGCTGCTGTAGAGGGGTTTCACAAACCAGGTGGATGCCAAGTGGAACCCTGGAGACTGAGGTGTAGGTGGGTAGGCTGGGATTGCAGCCGCCCTCTGGAGTGCGAGGGAGCTGTGGCTGCCATGCAGTCTCTGAGCTGCAGCAGAAATGCACGGGGGGGGGGGCATCCCTTGACATGGCCTCTGCAGGTGTGATGAGCCCTGGGATTTTATGGAAGACAGTATGAAGGGGAAGTGACCTATGGCAGGCACCGATGACTTTGCAGTAATACAGGTCTGAAGTAAAAGGCTGGGCCAGGTCCACAGCAGGGAGATGCATGCCACAACAGGGGTACCCATGCCGCAGTCTTGCTCCAGGAACTCAGGCCTCTTTCCCTCCGACCAGACAGGGCTGGTCTAAACCTGGGTACCCGAGGGCACCCCCCTAAGGAGCATGTGATTCCCAGCTCTGCTCCAGGCCTCTCACTAAAGGAGGACGGGAACATTTTGCACCAACTGGCCGCACAAGCTGGTTTTACCTTCCATTCTGGCAGCTGAGGAGTAGAGAAGAAACGGGGAGAAGGGCGGGGAGATGGCTGTTGATAAAGTGCTTGCCATGCAGACTTGAGAACCTGAGTTTGGAAGTCTGAATTTGGAGCCCCAGCACCAACATACAAAAAGCCAGGTGGAGCTTATGTCTATAGCCCTGGCACTGTGGCTCCGGGCATCCAGAGCCAGCCAGTCTAGCACAGTTGCTGAGCTAAACAGATTAAGTAGAGCGCAATTGATGAAGCCGCTTGCTTGTCAGTGTCTGGCTCTGTGTGTGCATATGAACAAAAATGTAGAAAGAAGTGAGGGGGACAGTCAAGGCTGCCCACATCTGGATCACGCTGCTAGAATGGCCTCCAGGTTGTGTGACGTCCAGAGTGCGTCTCAATAAAACAGGAGGGCAGCAGGGTTACATGAGACCTGGGGCTTTTGGCAGATGAGAGGACAGCCCTGACCCTGTGGTTCAGGGTCTTCTGAAGCCCAGGTAGAGAAATGTGGTTGTTGGGGGAGGGGAACAGTGGCATGGAGAGGCATGGCTGGCTGGCCCTCACACATCCAGAAAGTTCTCAGAAGCACTCATGCCAAGTGTTGCGCCTGCACCGGGAGGAGGGGAGATAGGGACAGGTCGGGTGGGGAGGTTTCCAGTGGAATGTGGAGCAAGCTGTTCCAGGCAGGGAACAGCCAGGAAGCAGGCTGGGGAATGCGGCCTGTGACTGGGTATAGTTTAGTCCTAGGGCAGGGCTGGAGGAGGGAGGTGGGATTTATAGAGGAACTTGCAGCTGGAGAGGGGACCTCTTTTTTGTTTTCCTGGTTTTATGAGACTGGGTTTCTCCACATAATCTGGGATGTCCTGGAACTCACTCTGTAGACCAGACTGGCCTTGAACTCACAGAGATCCTCCTGCCTCTGCCTCCCAAGGGATAGGACCAAAGGTGTGCACCACCATGCCCTGCTAAGGAAGCCATTCTTGTTATTTCCTGAGGAACCTGGTTTTCTCTTTAGTTTACCCAGTCTGCTCCTTTCTTTCTCTGTTCTTTGTGAGTGTTTTCTGTTTTTGTTTTAGGACAAGGTTTCATGTGGCCTAAGCTGGCCAGTATCCAAGGATAACCCAGAAATCATGATCCTCTTGCCTCTGCCTCTCCAGTGCCAGGATTCCAGTGTGTAAACCACACCAGGTTTATGCAGAGCCAGGGGTGTTGGACCCAGGGGCCTGGAGAATTTCGGGCAGTCACTCTCCCCACTGAGCTGTATACTGAGTTCTTATGTGGTATTATTGAGGTAGGGCTCACAACGTAGCTCAGGCTGGCCTTAAACTCCACACCTACCTTTCACACTGATGTGAACGTTTACATAAGACTCTGAGAGGTATAATTCATGAGAACCATCGCATTCGGCCGTATTCAGCATCCGGGGAAGAGAACTGTCGCGGTGCCTGGGCCCCAGCTCCAGCGTTGCAAAATCAATCACAGTGCGTGGCATGCAGTTACTCTCTAGGAAACAGGTTTTCAGATAAGAAAGTGTGCAATGGTCGGGCATGGTGGTGCATGCCTGAAGTCCCAGCACTTGAATGATGGATGGTGTTTGTGGCTATCCTCAGCTACATTTCTAGTTTGAGGCCAGCCTGGGCTACATTGGAAGACTGTCTTCACAATAACGAAGGCAGAACCGCATAGCACCCTAAGAGCCTGGTAGCTGGGTTGAGCCAGGGTTTAGATCCTGGGTCCAGGTGGCTTTGAGCTGTGATCACCAGGCTCCATTGATGCCATAGGGGAGCCTTTCCTGGGGGCCAGGCCTCAGGCTAGAGGCCCAGACCTGTGATGCGGCACCTGGAGCCTCCAGGCATCTCCTGGCACCTGTGCCCAGAGAGCCCCCAGGGAGCAGTTTATCTGAGATAACCTGAGCCACCCTGCAGTCCCTTGTGGAATGACCCTAGCAGGGCCTCTGATCGGCTTGATGACTGTATTGGAAGGGATGGCTTCAAACTTTCCAGCTTGCTCGTGCTGCCCACAGGGTGGAGTCACAGCCGATGAACCCCAGTTCTCCCCACACTCAGGAGCAAAACTGCCACGCACCTGGCTAAGACTCACCTAAGCTCTGGGGGAATTAATGCTCACTACCTCAAAGGAGCTGACCCTGCTAAGGCCAGAGGAACTTCTGTGATTTTTTTCCCTTAAGATGTTTATTTATTTATTTGTTTAATATGTGTGGCTATTTTGTCTGCATGTATCTATGCACACCAGAAGAGGGTGTCCGATCCTATGGGACTACAGTTATAGACAGTTGTGAGCCACCATGTTGGGTGCTGGGAATTATATCCAGGACCCCTAGGAGAACAATCAGTGCTCTTAACCTCTGAGCCATCTCTCCAGCCCTAGCTTTCTGTGTCTTGACAGAACACACCACTGCTGGGGAGCAGGGGGACCCTGTGTGTCAAAGTGGGTTTGCAGCGGGAGGCTCATACCTTTATTTCCAGCACTCAGTTGGCAGAGGCAGGCTGATCTCTGTGAGTTCGAGGCCAACCTGGTCTACAGCGTGAGTTCCAGGACAGTCAGAGCTTTGTGAGAAACCATCTTGAAAAACCAAACAAAACAGAAGCAAACAAAATAGAAATATCATTAGGTTCTCTGGGGCATGATGTAAACCTAACACTAGGGAGGCAGAGGCAAGAGGATTTGAAATTTGAGTCTCCAGATTTTAAAACAGTTGACAGCTGATTCAGTAGATTTTATGGCACAGGGGGTCTAAACAAATGTGGGGGACACTGTGTGGCACTAGGGACTCTACTGTAACCTCTGATGCCTTTGCCTCTGTTGCTGAGAGTTGGTAGAAAACTCCTACACATACATCAGCACCCCGCGCAGAGGGAGCACCTCTCTGGAAACCGCTCCCTTGATCCTCACTTATTGGCATATTTATGTGTGTCCATCTCTCAATCCTGCTGTTCAGTTCCAGTCTGTTCCCCGTTCTGAGTTCAGTGATTTTAGTGTTTAGTAAAATGCTGGATGCCCTTTAAAAATGGAGGACACTGTCTGGGGAGGTGGCCAGCCCTGATGGTGTGGCCTCAGTGGTGATGGATTATGCTAGAGGTTTGTCTCACGGCAGAATATTACACAGCTGTGGAAAGGAATGAAGCTTTGACCCAGGCGGGGATGCAGACCTCATGTTTCTTCTGCTCCACACTAGGGGTGACTCTGGCTCCAACTGTGGGTGTGGGCAGAACCCTCCCCTCCCACCTCCACCTTCCCCTTAGCTCAGCTGACCGTCCCGGCAGGTGGTGTTGCCTTTTAGCTGTCCAGGACGTGAATCAGCTCAACTCAGCCTCCTGGAGTCCTTGGCCTCTCAGCCATGAGCCACTGCCCTGTCTAGAATCCCCTTTGCCCTCTGGGGTTGAGGGGTATGTCGCCGAACTCTGCCTTCTCATGCTAGAGCATTCTGGCTTTGGTGTACACAGACACGGGATGGCTTTGAAGAAATGGACCACTGGGGATCTGACGGGGATCTGACTTGCGGGCTTGGGGAAGGGTGGTCAGTGGTATGACTTGTTGGCGTGTGCAAGGTCCAAATATCCCGTGAGAGAGAGAGAGAAAGGGGTGTCCAGTGTCATACACCTGTCATCCCAGCCTTCCAGAGGCTGAGGCCGGAAGATGGATGTGGGTTCCAGCCAGCCTGGGCTACACAGTGAGAACCTGTCTCTAAAAGAAAGTAATGGGCCAGCCTCTTAGGGTTACTATTGCTGTGATAAACACCAAAATCATGACCAAAGTCAAGTTGCCATGTGGGGGTGTTATTTTGCTTATACTTTGATATCACCATTTATCATTGAAGAACGTCAGGGCAGGAACCTGGAGGCAGGAGCTGATGCAGCAGAGACCATGGAGGGATGCTGCCTACTGGCTTGCTCCCCATGACTTGTTCAGCCTGCTTTTTTTTTTTTTCTTTCTCCCCAGGACAGGGTTTCTCTGTAGCTTTGTAGCCTGTCCTGGAACTCACTCTGTAGACCAGGGTGGCCTTGAACTCTCAGAGATCCACCTGCCTCTGCCTCCCAGATGCTGGGATTAAAAGCGTGCGCCACCACTGCCGGCCTCAGTCTTCTTTTTTACAAAACCCAGGACCACCAGCCCAGGGATGTCCCCACCCACGGTGGGCTGGGCCCCACCCCCATCAATCACTAATTAAGAAAATGCCCTACAGCTGGACCTTATGGAGGCTCTTATCTTTCTCAGTTGAGGTTCCCTCCTTTCAGATGACTCTAGCTAGGGCAGCTGGCAAGATGGCTCAGCAGGTAAAGGTGCCATGCAATACCCACTGGCGTTTGATACCCAGGACCCATATGGTCAGAAGAAAGACCTGACTTCCCAAAGTTGCCCTTTGACCGCCATATACTCTGTAAACACCCACAGACACGTACAATAGTCGTGAGTAAAGAAGTAAGTAGAAAGTTGTAGGAAGCCACCTGGAGGCACAGGTGGTCCTGCAGTTTGGAGGTATACAAGTCCATACCTGGCTTAGCCACGTGAGGCCTGCACCCTTGCCTGCACATGCTCAGACCAGCAGAATGGCATTAACCAATCAGGACAGCGTTCAAGCCTCTCCACCATTTAAAAGCAGCTGCCTCTGGGCTCTACTTGCTCTCTCTAAGCTTTCTCTTGTCCCTGCTCTCTCTCTTCCCTTCCCCCAATTTTCCTCAACCGAATGCTCCGAATAAAGACGTGACCAGGGAAGGAATTCTCGTTTTTAGTGGCGTTCATTCCTGCTGGTCAGGAAGCGCGCTGCAGAAAGTGGCAAGTGTGTGGACTGTGGAGAACTGGGACCCTTGGCGTGCTGGCAGGAGTGCCAAACAGTGCACACCCACTGTGGGAAGCACCTTGGCATAGAAAGGAGAACTCAGAAAGGTAAAGACAGAGTCTCTGCAGTTGTCCACAGACCTGGGCATAGTTCAAGGATGGAAGACAGGTGTCCCGTCAGGATTGGACACTGGGATTCACATCCAAAGAGAAGAAGCCACCTACATGCCCATCGATCACAGGATGAGACCATGCTCGTCGTTCCGTCTGTGGAATATACCCAGCCATTAAAAGGGATGAATCTGACACAGGCTGTAACATGGACGAAACACAAGGTTAATTGGAAGAGGCAGAGGCAGGTGCATTATGGGAAATGTCCAGGTGGGGAGAGATGAGAGATCAGGCTCCCTGCAGGGGCTGAGACAGAAAGAGCGGGGAGTGGTGGGCTATTGCTTAGTGAGTGTGGGAATTGCCTTCGGATGATAAGAATGTTCTGGAATTAGAGGTATAAAGTAGTATCACCATATGAGAGGGTTTTTTTGGGGAGGGGAATATCACACTGTATCCCAGGCTGGCTTCAAGTCTCTATGTAGCACAGACTGGCCTCCTCATACTCACCATGTAGCCCAGGCTGGCCTCAAACTTACTGTGTAGCTCAGATTGTCTTGAAATTCACAACATAGCTCAGGTTGGCCTTGAACTCTAGGCACCCTTCCTGCCCCAGTCGCCTGTGTGCCAAGACTAGAGCCATGCACCACCACACCCAGCTGACATACTTTAAAATGGCAAATTCTGTATTTCATGTGTCTTACCAATGTCTTTGAAAGGCTACCAGGCTCTGGCACGAGGTGGCATGGTAAGTTGTGATTTGAGGCAGGGCACTGATGCAGGACGATCCTGGGCTCTGTCTGTGTGACTTACATTGCAGACAGCTGTATCCCTTTGCCAGGCTCTGAACTCCGGCAAGGTGGCAGGAGCCCCTGGGGAAGAAGGGATTTGACCAGAGGGTCTGTCACAGAAGTGACTCATTTCTCGTAAAATGAAAACGGTAGCAAGAACGAGTGTAGGCTGTTCTTCAACACGCCTTGACCAGATTAGCAGAGGTCTAAGTAAGAAAATGGGAGGGAAGCCTGGAGGAGAAGGCAACAGATGGTGGAGGGCGGCCGTCAGAGGCACGGTGGGAGGCACGCCTCTGCCTGTTTGTAATAGCATCCTGAGTGGAGTGGGAGTCTGGGATGCAGGGCTAGCTCATGAACGAGCTCGCTGAACAGGTGGTGGCTGGCTTCCACCTCCAAAGGGAAGCATTGAAGAAGAGAAGCGGAGGCTGCTGCCCAGAGACCGAAAATAGTGACCTGAGCAGGCCGCCTACCAGAGCGGGGTAGAAAATTCTGGCATATGAAGGGTGTGGAGCAGGAACTGTCAGGAGTGCCTTGACAATGCATCTCTGCCTTCTTCAGATACAGCTGCAGCCGGATGGAGAGGAGTACATCTCAGACTCAGAGAAGGCTGCCCTGGACCTCAAGGACCCCAACCGCCCTCGGTTCACGCTACAGGAGCTGCGGGATGTGCTGCATGAGAGGAATGAGCTTAAGTCTAAGGTGTTCCTGCTGCAGGAGGAGCTGGCCTACTATAAGAGGTGAGGGTAGTTACCACGACCTCAGCGGCCACACCCCAAACCCAGGCACATCAGTACTTGTGCAGCAGAGACAAGCACGCCTATAGGTGGCATAAAGGTCACACAGCCCCCAGCAGGCCATTGCACGTCTTGCCAAGTGTGTGACCGGATGTCTGTCAGAGGGCTGAGGCGATAGATGGCTTCATCGGTGAAGAGTTAACATTGCACTAATCACGAGGAGCAGAAGTTAGGTCCCCAGACATTTGCCACGGTTCCCACCTCTTTCCCAGCCCTGACCTAGAGGATGCATGTGAAGTTCAAGGCCCACCCGGGAGACATGAGCTCTTGTCTCAGAAAATCAAAACCAGAAAAGGAGAGATGGAGGGCTGGAGATGGCGGAGGTCCAAGCATGAATTCAGGACTCAGATCTTCAGAAGCCATGCTGGTGTAGTGTGTAACCTGCCTGTCGTTCCAGCAGCTCCCCAGAGCAATGGTTAGCAGGACCAGCCTAGCTGAGAGCTCTGGGCTTGATTGAGATACCCTGAGAATAAGGTGGGAGGGGCTCGAGGATGATCCCTGTCAACTGTGGGCCTCCACGTGTGCGCGCGCGCACACACACACACACACACACACACACACACACGCGCGCGCGCATCAAAAGAAGGAGGAAGAGAGGGAGGGAAGACCAAGCACCTGCCCTAAGCACCTCCCCGGGGCCAAAGGGACTACTGACTTACCCTCCAGACTCAGACCCCCAGCCGAGTGTGCCAGAAAAGAACCCAGTTGTCATCTCCCCAGGTACCTTACTCCCCATGAGAAATTCTGCACCAAAGCAAACCATTCTACCCTCTTTGGGAGTGTTCCAGTTCTCAGAATTGTGTTGACTCCTCCATTTCTTGCTTTCAGTGAAGAAATAGAAGAGGAGAATCGAATACCCCAGCCTCCGCCCATCATACACCCAAGAACATCCCCCCAGCCGGAGTCTGGGATCAAGCGACTGTAAGTATTGTGCCTCCCACGTGGGCCGTGTCACATATGGCTCGTCCTCGTTCCTGAGACCTCTGATCCCAGGTCTGGGCGCCTTCTCTCAGGAATGTCCCTAACCCCAGCGGCTGAGACCAGCTTCTCCCACCACTGGGGTTTGCCCTTCATGTTTTGATTATCTCCCTGCTTGGCCTGGACCACCAGTTCTTGGTGTCACTGGGCAGAGATTTGGGGACCAGTGACTGGTGCTCAGGAGCTTGCTTGGGTGTGCCAGGTGCATGGGATGTGGCTCTGGGTTTGGTACAATGAATAAGTTGGGGGATCAGAGACTCAGGCATTTTCAGAGCTTTAAGGAGCTAAGTGTAGGACCCCTTGCTTTAACCCTAGCATCCAGGAGGTGGAGACAAGAAGATCACAAGTTCAAGGTCATCCAACCTAGGCTACATAAGATACTTAAAAATTAAAAAAAAAAAGTCCAGAATGGCCAGGTTCACCCCCTTTTTGGATTTTATGATGATAAATCCTCTAAACTATTACATGTATGTTGGTCCAACATATGTTCAGACTTAGACCCTGGTTGCTATGATACACATGCAGAAGGTCATATGTAGCTCCTGTGATCCACTAGACCTCGGTCCCTCCAGGAGTGTCTGGCCTTGTGGATCTCCTTGGTTCTCGTGGGAGTTTGCCAACATTTTCCTTGGAAAAGAACAGAGGATAACAGAATGGTGTCCAGTTGAGAAGATTTGCAGGCCCTGAAGCCTGTCAGAGGAAGGGCTGAGTTTTTATCTGGCCTTGTCAGGTGCCATCTTGTGCCCATCAAGAGCCTGCTGCAGGCCAAGACCTGTCCCTCAGATGGCCTTGTGGGGGCCTCACCCTGGTGCTAATACGTAGAAGACTGTCATTGTTAGGGGACTCCTGAGACAACTGACTGTGACCAGTAAGAGGCAGAGCTCAGCCGAGCTAGCCCGGCCTCGGAGGACTGTATTCAGGCCTGTTGCAGACCCACATTGAGTGTCTGGAGTCTCATAGACCGAAAGGGGCTCCCCAGACCTGGTTTTGGCTATTCTTACAGAAGAGGCCTTGGGCCTCTCCCCAAGCCCAATAGAAGCTTTGAAAGAGCAGGCAGCGTGGGGGTGGGGAAGGAAGTGGGCGCTACCCATATACATCCTACCCTTTAAACACCAGTGACCATGCTGGGAATTGTTGGCTAGTTCTGAACAGACGGAATGTGGGCTGATTTGTGTCATGGGGCCCACTCCCTTGGCAGGTGGCATCCCGCTCACGCTGGGCCCTCCGACAGCGAGGTAGCTTCCTGCAGCGCTGTTGCAGACAGCAGTGCCCCTCTGAGCTGGCCAGCCTGCCCTACACCCCTGCTGGGTTTGGGAGTTCTTCTAAGAGATATAAATACTTCTAAGGGACAGGATCCAAAGGCTCCTGAGAAGTCCCAGCACTGTTCTGACCTTTCTATCTGCAATCAAAGCTCCACTCAGACAACTGCAGAGAAATCGTCCTAAGTGCAGGCTCTCCAGCCTGGTCCAGCATTGGGCTTGGCTGGCTCCTGGCTCCCTGTGCGAGGGCTCCGTCCCTCCCCTTGCTCCTGCAAGTGCAGACCCTGGCCTTGAGTGGGGCAGCCACCCTCAGCCTTGGATTCTGCTCTCACTAGGTGGGGAAGCTCACATCTGTAACTCCAGCACTCGGGAGGCTGGGGTAGGCCCGCCTCTAGTTAGAGAGACACCTAGACTACAGACTGGGGACCATGCCTGAAAAGAAGCCAGAACAACAGAAACAGGATTCCGTTTTCTCCTCTCTGAAGCTCTAGAGAAAATGGAAAGGCGGATGGCGAGTGGTCCGTTGTGAGGTGTAAGCGCATGAAACACGCAGAAGGTGAAGGGGGTGACGGCGAACTTGAGGCCAGTGAGGTGGTTTGGCAGTTCAAACATAAACCTGAGGACCTAAGTTCAGTCCCCCAGAACCCACATAAAATGGACAAAAGAACTGACTCCCTAAAATCAGTTTTCTGACGCATAGGCATACCACTCACATCATATACTCACACTCAGAGACACACACAATCCCCCCCTCCCCCGAAACAGGGTTTCTTTGTGGAGCCCTGGCTGTCCTGGAACTCGCTCCGTAGACCAGGCTGGCCTGGAACTTAAATCTCTGCCTTCTGAGTGCTGGGATTAGTTTTTTTAAGTTATTTTTCCCAGTTTCAAGCTGGGTAAAATCTAGACTATCATGATCCCGACTCAGCATATGACCAGGCCACAGCGTCTGCCACACTCTCCGAGGTGGCTCCGTTCCCAAAGTCCCTCTCCCTTTTAGCTTTGCCGCAGGCTGCTTGGCAACACCTGGTGATCTAAGCCCGACAGGGTTGTCCGCTCCAGAGCGACAGGAGCGAAGACAGAGTGAGACCGTACTTCCTGTCTGTGCTGCACAGGTGGCCAGCTCTTGGCAGCCAGGTTTCTGGGGGTGACAGGAGCGGCTGTCAGGCACAAAGGGCTTTTGACCAGCACAGGGACAACACTGGTGGCTTTTGTCCTCTGTGGCCTATGACAGCTTTCATTGGCAGACTCTCCTAGAGCCCTTCTTCTCCAGATTGTGGCTTCTGTCCCCTTCGTCCTCTCCTTCGGACTGTGTTTGACCTGCGGCTGTGGGCCCTTGATCCCAGTCCACCTCTGTCACCCAGCAGCTAATAAAGAACCACCAGGCTTAGTTGAGTATGGTAAGAGTCACAGAGCTGGAGCAATTATCCCCATTTCTCAGATGAGGAAACTGATTCCCAGGCATGCCACAGACTTGATTCAAATCTGTGCGATTGGGAAGACTCAAAGCTGGGCTTCTGAACTAAGTCTTTTGTCCATACAACACCCCCTCACCTCTCCTTCCTCTCTCACATCCTCATGCCCCAGCTAGTGGCTGGCTGCCCAGGTCCCCTTATCTCTCAAATGCACCCTGAGTCCAAGACGTCAGAATCGACATTTCTGGGCTGGGCACAACAAGGCAACCAGAACCTCCCACTGCCAGTCAAAACAGTGAGCCGGAAGATGGTCCAAGAATAGCTTGTGACTGTGAGGCCACTGGCCCGAGAGGACAGGTTGGCACAGCTCATGGAGGTCACAAGGGAGCCTCAAGTGACTTCAGCCTTGTCCCCAGCAAGCCCTAAACACCAGTGTCCCTTTTGTGTGGTCCCCACTTCAGAGTTCACCCCGCACATGCACAGGACGGCTTTCTACTGGGCACAGCTTCGGGGGGGGGGGGACTCTAGAGGGGACAGGAAGGCAGCAGCTGGCCTCAGGGACCGGAAAGCCTGGCCTTGGAATATGCTCCGCTCTGTCTGCAGCAGTAAGGACGACATTGTGTCCTGTGCCTGGCCTTCCACCCCCACACCCCTCCTCAGCCAGGAATAGGTTCTTCGAAGCCGCCCATGAAATGCTAGGAGTTAGCACTTCACTTGGTTTGAGCCTTCCAAAAATACCCAACAGGGATGGAGGCATTAAAACCACGTCTACCACGATTAAGATGCAGAATTTGGCCCAATAGTCATAGGAGTGGCTCTCCCTCTCTTATCAAACTTGGAGGTCATAGGCTGTGCCCTAGCAAGCCAGCTTCAGCCACCTGTCTGGAGTAAATCAATTATAAAAGCCAAATTAATAGTGAAAATCAGAAAATAGGAGATTTATTCCATGTGGCCACACACTGAATACAGACACACACAGAGACACACACAGACACAGAGAGAGACACAGACACACAGAGAGACACACACACACACACACACAGACACACACACACACATCCATCTTCAGGGTCCTGAAATCAGGGTAAGGTTTAAATAGAGGGCAACAGATAGGCACATCTAAACAGTCCTGCCAAGATGTGGGTGTGGTCCCCCCATCACTCACTGTCCTAGTTCAGTTTCACCCTGTGAGGTCGTCAGCTTTGTAACTCTGGAGACAAGTACTCACTTCCTGGGGCAATTCCCATCCCTTGTTTGGAGAGTCCGATGATCTTAAGGGTGAAAGACTTAAGTGTCTCTTTAAAATATTTCATTATGGGGCTAGAGAGATGGCTCGGTGGTTAAGAGCACTGACTGCTCTTCCAGATGGACCCAGGTTCAATTCCCAGCCCCCAGCAGGCAGCTTACACCTGTCTGACACCTTTGCATGGATATACCTGTCAGCAAAACACCAATGCACATAGAAACTTTTAAAAAATATATCGATATATAGATATAGATATTTTTAAAAAGTGTGCCCTATCACACCTCATTTAGAAAAAATAAAAGGAATAGTTTCATTTCTGTGCCACCTCTAGAGGTTGGGCTTGTCCCGGTGACCCGGAAGCAATCAAAGGGATGGGATGCTCCAGATGACTCAGGCCTTTTGCCAGCAGTGTGGCCCAGTGTTTGTAAGTGGGCAGACACCTCTGCAAGCAGTGTCTACATGGAGACCGAGGCTTCCTGCTTCGCGGTGACAGTGTTTGAGGGACAGGGGCTCTGAGGGGCGTGTCCTTGAAAAAGTGGTATAAAATAGTATGATGGTTTGGAGCCCCAAAGCCTCTTGTGTCCAGCAGCTAGCAGGAAAAGGGTGACTGCCCTTCTGTGTCAGGATGGGTGCCTCTGGGTGGACTGTGGCTGCCACTCCTCTGTGACAACACTGTGGAAACACAGTGAGGGACTTCAGAGGCTCAGCTGGAGACCATGAGAGTGTCTCGGGGATGACAGTCCACTGGATTTCTGAGTAATGTGCTGGGTCCCGTCACCAGCACCTCATGAGATCCAGTGTGGTGGTCGTGGTTATGCCTGTAAACCCAGCCCCAAGGGAGGTGTGAGGCACAAGGATCAAGAGTTCCAGCTAGCCTCAGCTGTGTGGGAAGTCTGAGCCGGTTTAGGACAGACTATCTCTGTGGGCTGTGGTGGCGCATACCTTTAATTCCAGCGCTCTGAAGGCAGAGGCCGGCGGATCTCAGTGAGTTCCAGGACAGCCTGGTCTAGAGAGTGAATTCCAGGACAGCCAGGGCTACACAGAGAAACTCTGTCTTGAAAAACTAAAATAATAATAATAATTATAATAGGCTGTAGCTCATTTGGGAGAGTGCTTGCCTAGTGTGCATGAAACCTTGGGTTGAGTTTCAGTGCATGAACCTATAACCTCAGCCCTTGGAGGTGGAAGCCCAGATACCAGAAGTTCAAAGTCATTCTTAACTATGTAGTGAGACTGAAGCCAGCCTGAGATACATGAGGCTCTGGGTTGTCCCCACCCATGGGAAAAAGAAAGAGCTGAGAACAACATACCTCAGTATCTCAGTGTTGGAGTGTTTAGCCAGAATCCACAGGCGCTGGATTTCTCCCCCAGTATATATAATAATAATAGTAAGAAAAGGTGCTTTTCAGCATGATTGGTTCCCTGAGAGAGACTCCCAGTCTTGAGGTTAGTGGCCTTTGGGCTTCCTCAGGCTATAGGACCATCACCCATCTCTGCCTGGACACGAGTCTGTGAGTCTGTGTCTACTTCTCCACATATACAAGGTCGTCGGTCCTGTTGAGAGAGGGCCCTCTCCTCCAGCAGGGCATGGGTCTTCATGGGTCATGCTGAGGAACATGGGGTGGGGGTGTGTGTCTCAGCCTATAACATAGCCCATAGTTGCAGCTCTCAGTGGGATCTTGGCGCGCGCGGGGGGGGGGGGGGTCTTGGTCACACTGCCCTCTCTTTATCTCCTCTGTCTGTCTGCTTCTGGAAGGCTCTTTACAGCCGTCATGCCCATGGTGGCTGCTGGACTGATCCTTGACGACCCCACGCTGCAGCCTGTGCGAAGACTCGTGTCCCTCGTAGGCACTGTCTGTGTTTGGGGTTTTGTTTTGGTTTTCTTTTCTGCTGTGCCTCTAGAATGGCTGTGGTGGCTGCTGCCAGCCTGTCCCTCCTGGCCACTTCGGTTGCATGGCCGTCACCTGCTTGTTGGCATCTCAAGTGGGTATGGTGCGTGATTGCCACTGTCGCTCTTGACCTCCACGAGTGCAGCCGGGAATGTCACCGATAATTCTTTTTGTCTCTTCTGTTTTCGCTCTAAAAACCACCTTGTCCATGATGCAGTAAAGAAGGTCCTTTAAGTGACGGGTCAGTAATCAACGCCCCCGGGATCTGAGTGACACTAACTGCTTTCTCTGTCTCCATGCCTGGGGCTTTCTAAACAGCTTTGTCTTGGCAGATGTTTGGTGCAGAAAAGTGTGGGGGAGGAGGGGGGAGCTGGCATCTGCAGGTGGCTTTCCTAAGTCAGGCTGAGACATAACAAGGGCCAGGCTGCAGTGGTGGACTAGCTAACTCCGTGGCTGCTCCGCGTTAGAAGGATCCCTCCCCTGTCCAGCGTGAACCCCCACGTCAACTTGCCAGCTCATACTTGCCCTTTAAAGCCCTAGAGAATTTCCCAGGTGAACTTGGCCTGAGGATGAAAGAGCATTCTATTCCTGCTAGAAAGGGAGTGTGGCCCCAGTTCCCCGGAACATCCTCTTCACTAGATGTAACTGTAGCAAAACCCCGGGACTGGGGAGTTGGCTAGTGTGAGGAATGTGAGGATCCGAGTTCAAGTCTCCAGGCCCCATGTTAAGTCAGATCCCAGAGCATGCTTCTATAGTCCCAGTTCTCTTACTGAGGGACAGGAGAGAGGCGATGTCTGTAGCAGAGGTGAATAAGAGACCCTGTCTCTAACAGAGTGTAGGGGGCTTGCAGGATGGCTCAGCAGGCCAAAGTGCTTACTGCCAAGCATGACCACTTGGGGTTAAGACAGGAGGATCACAAATTAAATGCCAGCCTGGGTGATTTGGCAGTCTTGTAAGATTAATATTAGTGGGCTGGAGGACTGGTAAAGTGACTGCTGAAGTAAAGACATATACAGTTACGTATGCAGCTAAGCCTGCGGACCTGGGTTCACTGCCTGGGACCTAAGATAGAGTGGATGGAGAGAACTGATTCCCACACACACACACACACACACACACACACTCACGTGTTCACTGAAGTTGTGGTTCAGTGGTAGAACACTTACCTAGCATGGACTATGAGGACTGCCAGATGTGAACTGAGGCCCCTGCCCCCAAGGCTAAGAACCTAATTCAACTGTGGGACGACCCCCCCCCCCACGGTGAAGAAGAGAACTGACCCACCGTCTGTCTTCTGCCGTCCATGCAGGAGCCACATCACTTGAGTGCTTACACACTCATACATACACATGAATGAATGAAAGCGTGAATGAATGAATATTAAGAATGGTTTTGCCTTAGAATCATCTTCCTTACAACTTTCAGGTTCTTCCAAAGCATCATTCGATTCATTCAAGAGATCTCTAGGCTGGGGCTGGGGCTCAGTAAGTAAAGTGCTTGCCTAGCATGCACAAGCCCCCAGGGTTTGATCTCCTGCATCCCATAAACTAGGCATGGTGACTCATGCCTGTAATCCCAGCACTTGGGAAGGAGAGACAGGAGGATCAGAAGTTCAAGGTCACCCTCAGCTATGTAATGAGTTTGGAAACCAGCTTGAGCTACCTAAGACGCTATCTATAAAAATGAGAAGAAAAAAAATAATAAATTTTTGAGCTGAGCATTTAGCTGAGCCATAGAGCCTTAAACCTGGCCTTTGTGAGGACCTGAGTTGTGCTGGTGTGATTTGGTGTTTGTTTCTAGTCGATATAGGAAAGATCCCCCTAGTAGCGGCCAGATGGAAGGTACTGCCCACCCCCACCCCCATCACATACTGCAAACTGCTTGTTCTGTGGGAGTGCTGAGGTTCTGGGACCCATGATATCCAGAAGCCTCAGTGCTTTCTAGAATCCTGCTGACTGCATCCCCCATGGTGAATGGATCTGCTCCCTCGGGTGCTTGTTCCTGTGTGTCCTAGGGCTGAAGGAAGCGGGCAGGTAGAACAGGAGAGGGCAAGCACTTACTTCCATCTTTGTGTTTCTTTTCCCCTTCCAAAAGGTTTAGCTTTTTCTCCCGGGACAAGAAGCGCCTGGCCAACACGCAGAGACCCACGCACATCCATGAGTCCTTTGGTCAGTGGGCAAATACTCACCGAGACGACGGGTACACAGAACAAGGACAGGAAGCCTTACAGCACCTGTGACTGTGCCCCCTCCTGAACCGCCTGCCGCCTGCTCCGGGTGGCTGCCTCAACATCGACCCCTCAAACGAACTGTCTGCTTTGAGGGTGGATGATGAAGAACTGATGCCAGAATCTAAAGAAGTGTTTATTTATCTGCAGGGCTATCCGATTTATACTCAATGCCTCCGACCCCTTAGGACCTATATTTAATAAGACAAGGATCTGAAGCCAGACCTCATTAATTTTAGTAACAAGCTTCCTAAGCTGATCACTTACCACTATCATGGCTATTTGACTCCTAGGTTTAGTTTTTTTGTTTTGTTTTCTTAGGGCCTTTGTCATGTTAGTGAGAGGCAGTGGACGGGTGTTTTATATTATGAAGTGGCCCTGGAGGTAGCAGGTTGTGTGGACTGGACAGGTGGAGCCTCTAGTCACAGGATGAGCCACCCAACTGGGATGGGACACAATAGCAAATCATCACAGTCCCCCCAGCCACGGGCTGGAAAAAGCGCAGGCTAGAGGCCCAAGCAGCCTGTCCGAGGTGGTGTGCCTTGGAATCTGCTGTGAGCACCACAGTAGTACTAACCAAACAGAGTTGTTTAGGATGACACTTGTTTCCTGTGTGTGTTTTTCCTGTCATTTTCTCTTTTCATGTTCCTTGTGTGAAATTCTGGATCTATACAAAGAAAACAGTGCCTTACAGCAGATTGGGTACCAGGCTCACGAGCCTGCCTTACAGTGGATTAGGTGCCAGGCTCACAAGCCTGGGTGATATGATGGGGCGGATGAGGAAGACAGATGTATGGGTAAAAGGTATGGGGTGCAGGGGGTGCACATGCCTAGCTGACCCACAGTTGCCATGGCCGCTGGAGGAACTGGAGGCTGGCCCCTGTACTTTCTGCTGGTGCACAGAGCACGTGGGTTCCGGACTCCAGAGAATAAGATCATATGATGGAAGGGACCATGCCCTGTGCTTTGTACTATTTTTGCTAAGAAACTGGGTGAAGCTGAGCATGGAGGTGCAAGCCTATAGTTGCTGTGGCTCTAGTGTAAGTGACTTCAGAAGTTCCAGCCACTTTCTGACAGTAAGGAGGTAGAAAATTCTGGATCAACTAATTTTTTTTTTTTTTTTAGCTAAGATCTTGTTATATGGCCCTAGCTGGCCTCAGACTCTTAACAATCCTGTGTCTCCCAAGTGCTGGGTACAGGGGTATGCCACCATGTGAGGTTCTGGCAACAGTTATCATTATTGATTTTTTGAGACAGGGTTTCTCTGTATAGCTTTGGAGGCTGTCCTGGAACTCCCTCTGTAGACCAGGCTGGCCTTGAACACACAGAGATCCACCTGCCTCTGCCTCCCAAGTGCTGGGATTAAAGGACGTGCGTCTCCACTGCCCAGCAACCTTTATTCCTGTATGTATGACATGTGTGCCATAGTCCTCATGTGGAGGTCACATGACAGCTCTCAGGGGTTGATTCTATCAACCATGGGCTCTGGGAATTCAGTTAGACTGTGTGACCTTTTTAAAGAGATTTGGCTTTAGTGACTGAGACCAGAAGAGGGTATCAGATCCCCTGGAACTGCGATGACAGACATTGATCAGCTGCTGTGTGACCCCGGTTACCTGCGAGAACAGCAGTGCTCTTAAGCGCTGCGCCTCCTCTCCAGTCCACAGAGCACCTTCTCTTACATTCTGCGTCGTCCCGCTAGCTCTCCAGTGAATATGCTTATTGACTGAAACTGTGTGAAATTCCAAATAGTTCAGACTGCCTGCACCTACCCCCCAAGTGCCAGGAGGCACTCACCACACCCAGCTGTCATTTTTCTTTAAGTAGTCTTAGAGCAGCCTTTAATTCACTTCAAGTTCACAGAACCCCTGCTGCCTAGCAAACCGGAATCCAGATAGTGAGGAAAAGGGACCGCTGACCAGCTCCAGGCAGTGTAGGATCGTGCCCTCCCATTCTTTCCCCTCACTCCTGCTGAGGTGTCTTTCCAGTGGCTGAAAGTCGGCTACTGATGGCAGCCCTGCTAGACTGCCTTTCCTTGTAAATGCCCCAGGCCAAAGTAGGCAGTCAGCGTTTTAGCAGGGAAGGGGTTGTGCTGATTTGACAGCAGCTTCCTGCCAACCCAGATGCCCAGCCTGCTGGACAGTTCTTGAAGTGGGCTTTTCTAGTCTGTTTTTATCTCAGCTCAGTAAACTCTGAACATGAAGAGAGGGAGACCCTGCCTCCCAGGGGTCAATGTCAGGGTTACATCTAATTCCTGTCGGTTTTGGAGACAGGGGTCTTATTTTGTAACCTAGGTTGGCTTCAAACTTGCAATCCTCCTGCCTCAGCCTCCCCAGTGCTAGGATGAGGGTGTGTGCCACCCCGCCAGGCTATTTAAGGGCTGTAAACCACTATCCCCTCTGCCACTTTGAACCCCACCTCAAAGGCTGTGAGAAGAAGATGACAAATTCTTTGTTACCACTTTTACTCTGGCCTCTGTTTCCCGGAAGCTGGGCTGACAAGCATTTGCAAGCACCAGACGGGCGATTTCTCATGCGGTTTCCCCTCCCATCTGTGCCCCACAGTGCGGCACCTGCCTAGCACACTCACGCTCTCCAGTTCAAGCTGCAGAAGCACAGCCTCTCTTAGGTCTGCGTGAGCCTGGGTTCTGGGCTGGAAAGGGAGCTGCCCCAGTCTGATGGCGGCCCAGGGCCTCTGGGTAGGCCTCCATGGCCTGCCATTGGCTTTACTTACTTCTATCCCTCTTGTCCCTGCCTTTAGCCCTGTCCTCCCTGAACTCCCTCTCTCTTTCCCAATCATTCTCAGGCCACACCCTGGCCATTTCCCTCTCTTGCCAGCGTTTCTCTCGGCCCCTGTCATGGTCCCGCTCCCTGGGCCTGGGGTCCCAGTGTCTGTCCCGGGATCGAGATCGCTCCCTCCTTTCTCTTTTCCCTTCTCTATGCTGCTCATTCTTGACAGCAGGCAAGTTGATGGGCTTTCGGAAAGGCCGATCCCGGCCCCCGAACCTCAGCTGCCCAGATTCCTTTTTCCCACCCAGTCCTCCACCCAGCCGCCGAGGGATCCAGCCACGGAGAGTGCGTTCTAGCTCATAGTCCACGAATATCTCGTGCTGGTCGATGACCAAGCCATCAGCATCACGGTAGGCCTTCAGTAGGGCCCGCTCCTCCTTGTACTCGATGAAGGCATAGCCCTTGGAAAAGCCAGTCACTAGATCCCGAACCAGCCGCAGCCGCCGAATGTCACCATAGCGGGAGAAGACTTCCTTTAACTTTTCCTCTTTGGTCTGCAAGTTTAGTCGTGCCACAAACAGGGTAAGAAGGGGGTCTCCAGTAACACCTTTGTTGGGTACATAGCGGGCCAGCATGGCCCTCCACACAGCCCGGTCATGTGGGTCTTCATCTGTGCCGTCGATGCTGCCAGCTTTAAGCGGGTCATATTCCTTGGCAATAGGTACCCAGTCACTCATGTTCTAGAACAGGAACAGCAAGCAGCTGTGAAGCATCTGTGCGTCTCCACGCTCACCACAGCTGTGGGAAGCAGTGCCTTTCCCCCACACACACATACACACTGTCTAAATAGGGCCTCTGTTATAGCCCCAAGCTGGCCCCAAACCCCTAATTGTCTTGTCTCACTCTCCTGAGTGCTGGGATTACACACACATGCCACCAACTTCACTACCCATTATGAGGGCAGTGGGCTTAGGACTAGGGGCTTTCTTCTCAGAAAGAAGAAATGAATGAAGCCCATTCATTCTGGGCTTGAGAATAACTGTGCTGAGCCCCAACTGTGGCTCACTTACCCTGACACATAATTAAGTCACACTCAGACCCGATGCTGAAATCTGCTTACAACTGGGAATCAGAAACACTGAAGGCAACACCTTCCTACAGCATCTTTCCCTGTCCCTAAAATGGTACTTACATCTGACCATGATAATGTACACACGTAGTTCCAACATTCAGGAGCTGGAGAGGTGGCTCAGCAGTTAAGAGGGTTGGTTGCTCTTGTGGAGGACCCAGGTTTGGTTCCCAGCACCCACATGGAGGGTTCACAACTGTCTGTAATTCCAGTTCCAGATCTGAACCCCTCTTATGACCTCTGTGAACACCAGGCATGTATATGGTACACAAACACACATGCAGGCAAAACACCCGTACATGTAAAAATAAGGTTTAAAACAAAACAACAATGAAAAATTGGGCATGGGTAGCACACACCTCGTCTCAACACTTAGGGAGCAGAGACAAAAATACCAACATTACAGTCTTCTACTGAGTCATAAAAAGAAGAATACCAACTTGTCACTCACAAACAACAAAACTGCCTCCCTGGTATCCTTATCAGCAAGAGGATAGCACACAGCCAGACAGGCCACCAGTGGGAATGAGGCTTCCTGGGCTCTGGCTCTAACCATTTGTTATCTTCTCCCTAATGCATGGAATTCCTTCAGGAGAGAGCCAGAAGAGAGCGCCAGCCCCTTTACAATCATCTCTCCCTGCTCTGGTGTTCTCTGTAAATTCCTTTGTACTGGGCCATGAATTCCCTCTCTCCCTCCTCTCTTTCTTTTTTTAAGAGACAGGGTTTCTCTGTAGCTTTGGAGCCTGTCCTGGAACTCACTCTGTAGACCAGGCTGGCCTCGAACTCACAGAGCTCCGCCTGCCTCTGCCTCCCAAGTGCTGGGATTAAAGGCGAGCTTCACCACCGCTCAGCACTTTCCTCTATTCATCTTCTTCCTCAAGGAGCTGACAGTAACTTCAGCTTTCTGCCCTGGGTTATTTTTTTTTTCTTTTAAACTCAAACAAAACTATCCTGGAATTTAAAACGTGTGAGAGACAAGGTTTCACACAGTGCAAGCTATCTTTGGCCTTCCTATATGGTCAAGGATCCTTGACTTCTGATCCTCCTGCCGCACTACCTCTCCCCAATGTATGAGCCAACACATTAAGTTTAATGGGTGCTAGAGATGGAACCCAGCGCTTCTCGCATGTTAGACAACCACTCTGCCAAAGGAGCTACATTCCCTGCTCTTCACTGAGTTTTGGGGTGGCGTCTCTTACTTATAATTACTTATAGCATATATAAAGCTTCGGAGCTTATTTTGTTTTATTTTCCGAGATAGGGTCTCACTGTGTAGTCCTGGTGTCCTGAACTCACGTTATAAGCCAGACTGGCTTCGGCTTCGAACTCCAAGAAACCTGCCTGCCTCTCAAAGGTTGGAATTAACGGCAGGTTTTTTGTTGTTGTTTTGTTTTTTCCGAGATTAGGCAAGAGTGGTGGCGCACATCTGTAATCCCAGTACTGGAGAGACTGATGTGGGGTTCAGGGCCATCCTTGATTACCTAATGAGTTGGAGGCTAGCCCGCGATACATGAGCTCTCCATCTTCAATAAAAACAAAACAAAACAAAACAAAAAAACCCAAGAAACAAAAAAGGGGGGGGTAACCTCACCGGAGAAGGGAGGTCTCGGGCACTTCCCCCAGGAAAACTCCAGCAGCTGCCAGGAACGACCCGTTCCAGGCATGCGCAGTGACACTGAGAAAGCCAGGGCGGAAGTGCCGGTAGGAAGCTGGTTCCTGGGTCCCCAGATTCGGGCAGGGCCCTGACGAGACTTGGAGGCTGACTCCTTCTGCTTCTTCCTGCTCCCCCGAGGCCCGACTTCCACCTCCCGGCCTCCGCCTCTGCCAGGCTTCAACATGGCGTCGACCGCGCGCGGACATGGCGCCCACCGGGCCTGCCGGCCACCCTCCTCCTTCTCCTCGCGTTGACCCTGTTCCCTCCGAGCTTCCACTCACCTCAGCAAGTCTTGGGTTCTCTCCGCGCCGAGACAGAGGCCGTTCCCAACGCCCGTTTGCCAGCGACTGAGGATTTCTTACGCCGTCCTCCACAGGAACTCTATATTGGCAGTAGCAGATTCGCCACAGACCTTGAGCGAGTTTCTTGCTTGTTTTTGCTTTCAGAAACAGGGATTCAATATGTAGCTCTAGCTGTCCTAAAACTCACTCTGTAGACCTCGAACCCTGAGAAATTCGCCTACCTCTGCCTCCTGAGGCCTGGGATTAAAGACATGGGCCCTTCTTCTGTCTCTTGAATTACTGTAATAAATAAATAAATGAATGAATGAATGATTGATTGTGGCCGGGAGGTGGTGGCGCACGCCTTTAATCCCAGCACTTGGGAGGCAGAGGCAGGCAGATCTCTGTGAGTTCAAGGACAGCCAGGGCTACACACGCACCCCCTTTCTTGAAACAAACAATCCCGCCCCCCCTCTCCAAAAAAAAACCCAAAACACAGAACAATTTCTACTGATGCACGGAGTCTCAGAACAAGTGCTCCAGACTCCATTCTTCCTGCACAGCACCTGGATCCCTCCCCTAAGTGTTTAACTAAAGATGGACGCCTCAGTCTAGGAAAGCTCCAGAACCCTGGCTGTTTTCTTGCATGAATGAACATGAGGTCTAGAACCCAGAAAAGGCACCTTGAAGGAGACACAGGAAGGAGCTGGTGTCTCAGGACTGGGGGGGAAGGGGTCTGAACCATATGCCCACTGCTGGTGGAACATTCCTATTTGCAGGTTTCAGCCCCAAACATCTCCAGTTCCATTTTGATCATGTGTGACTGACTACCCACTTAGCTGTATTTTCTGTCTCATCTTTTTTCTTGTCTTAACTCTCAAGGGAATAGTGGTTTTGCAAAAACCGAGCAAAGTTATCGAGTTTCTAAAGGACAGTAGCATGTGTAGGGGGTAGGGCAGAGAGCAAGTTGGACTGGAAAAGAAAAGTACACACCAAAGACATGATGTGGACTTCTCAAGGGAGGGTTGCCTTAAAATCAGTGTGGTTTTGTTTCATTTTGTTTGTTTGTTTTTGAGAAAGAATCCTTCTGTATAGCCCTAGCCCCATATTTCCTGGAACTCACAGTATAGACCAGGCTGTGTTTGAACCCAGAGGTCTGCTTGCTTCTGCTTCCCAAGTGCTGAGATTAAAGATGAGCACCGTTTTGCTGGGCTGTTTGTTACAGACATGCTGTCTTGTGTGCTTTGTAGTCCTAGGATTTGAACACAGAACCTTGCACATGCTAGGTCTCTGCTGTTAATCTACAACCCAAGCCCTGTGTTTTGACTTTTTGTTTGGGGAGAGGATCTCACTTAGTTGCCAAGGCTAGACTTGAACCCACTCTGTAGCCCAGAAAGGCCTTTAAGTTGGAATTCTCCTGGCTCAACCTGCCAAGTCCCTGAGGCTTCAAGTCTGGACCACCAAGCCTTGCTAATGCAAGCTTTATTTGCTTGTTTATTCTTCTATGTCTATTTTTGATCCAGTTTTTATTGCTTTGGTACTAAATAATTACATAGAGTTGAACAATCTTTTTTTTCAATATTTGGCAATGAAAATAGCTTTTGATTAAAATAACACCGGTCAGCCAGGCAGTGATGGTGCACACCTTTAATCCCAGCACTCGGGAGGCAGAGGCAGGTGAGTCTTTGAGTTTGAGACCAGCCTGATCTACAGAGCGAGTTCCAAGGCAGCCAGGGCTACATAGAGAAACCCTGTCTGGAAAAAACAAAAATAAATATTAAAATAAATTAACACTGGTCGAATAATTTCATCTCTGTCATGTGTGTCCTCAACAATCCACAACAATCTTTTAAAACATCCTTTATTCCCAATTTACTGTTGGGAAAACTGATCCCCTAAGTCAGGAGTAATGTGTTCTTATCTGACCTCAATACAGCCTGTCAGTGGCAAAGTCAATGTTAGACCCTGCTGTCTGGCTGTGCCATCATTATGTGTAGACAGATTTTTCTGTCCCACCAGCCACTCCCCAAATAACCACACAGAGACTTCATATTAATTATAAATACTCAGCCAATAGGCTTGGATTTTGTTTGTTTGTTTTAGCTAGCTCTTATAACCTAAATTAGCCCATTTCTGTTACTCTATGTGCTTCTCGAGGCTCGTTTACCTCGTGGAGGTACTTCCCATCCTGCTAGCTCTGCTTCTCAAGACATCTCTTCTGACTCTGCCCTTCTCCCCAACATTCTCTCTGCCCCAAAAATCCTGTCTGGCCATTGACCAATCAGCTTATTAACAATGAGAGCAGCTCATCTTCACAGCGTACAGAAGGATTAAACCACAGCAAGTATGGGTTCCAAATATTGTTCTGCATAGTGGCTCACACCTGTAAGACCAACAACTTGAGGCGGGAGGATTGTCATGAGTTAGAACAGACTGTCTCAAGAGTGAATCCCAGACCAGCTAGAGGTTACAGAATGAGACTGCCTAAATAAAAAGAAATGCACAAAGCAACATTGAGCGCCTCGAGGGCTTTTTGATACAAACACTGATGTGGCAACCTTGGTGTTTCTGACTCAGTGAAGGGAGGATTTGTGATTCTGTTTCCCTCTCCATTGTTTTTGGTGCTGAGGGAGGAGCATCCAGGGCTTTGGTGCTGGGGGAGGAGCATCCAGGGCTTTGATGCTGAGGACTGGACCTAGGGATCTGCACATCCACACAGGGTACTCTGTAGCGCTCCCCCACCAGGCTAGCTTTACCTCTCCACAATCTGAATTTCTAAAAAGTTACTAGGAGGGCTGGAGAGATGGCTCAGCGGTTAAGAGCATTGCCTGCTCTTCCCAAGGTCCTGAATTCAATTCCCAGCAACCACTTGGTGGCTCCAACCATCTGTAATGAGGTCTGGTGCCCTCTTCTGGCCTTCAGGCATACACGCAGAAAGAATATTGTATACAAAATAAATGAATAAATATTTTTTTTAAAAAAAAGTTTAAAAAAAAAGTTTACTAGGAGCTTGGGAGATGGTCCAGTGGGTAAAAACGTTTGAAATCCCCAGAACCCTCGCAGTGGGCGGTGTCCAACTCTGTAATTCCCATTCTCCTGTAGAGGGACAGAAGCCAGACAAGAGAATCTGCTAAGGCTTGCTGGTTAACTAACCTGACCTACACCGTACAATAATAAGAGCCCTGTCTTCTTTTAAAAAAAAATTTATTTATTTAATATGTATACGATATTCTGTCTGTGTGTATGCCTGCAGGCCAGAAGAGGGCACCAGACCTCATTACAGATGGTTGTGAGCCACCATGTGGATGCTGGGAATTTAACTCAGGTTAAGAGCAGGCAGTGCTCTTAACCACTGAACCATCTCTCCAGCCCTGAGCCCTGTCCTTTTTTAAAAAATATATTTATCATTTTATTTTATGTGCTTTCACATGTTGCCTGCGATGTGTGTTATGTGCACTGTGTGCGTGTCTGGCGCTGAAGGAGGTTGGAAAAAGGGATGAGGTCATTAGGAACTAGAGCTATACGTGGTGCGGGTGCTGGGACTCAAACCTGGTCCTCTAGAAGAGACATCGGTGCTCTTAACTGCTGAGCCATCTCTCTTTGGAGGCAGAGTCTCACTATGGAGCCCTGGCTTGAAGCACCATGTGAAGTCAAGCAGGCCACTGCTTGCCTCAGCCTCCTGAGTGCTGGGGTTAAAGGTATGTATCACCAAATATACCAGCCAAATCTTTGGTTTTGATATCAAAGGTATCAATTCTCAATGGAGCACATTTTGGTATTTTGTTCTTGTT